TGAGCCCCAGTCCTTCTGCCCCTCCCAGATGAGCCCCAGTCCTCACTGCCCCTCCCAGATGAGCCCGGGTCCTCCCTGCCCCTCCCAGATGAGCCCCGGTCCTCACTGCCCCTCCCAGATGAGCCCCGGTCCTCACTACCCCTCCCAGATGAGCCCCGGTCCTTACTGCCCCTCCCAGATGAGCCCCGGTCCTCACTGCCCCTCCCAGATGAGCCCCGGTCCTTCTGCCCCTCCCAGATGAGCCCTGGTCCTTACTGCCCCCCCAGATGAGCCCCGGTCCTTCTGCCCCTCCCAGATGAGCCCCGGTCCTCACTGCCCCTCCCAGATGAGCCCCGGTCCTCACTGCCCCTCCCAGATGAGCCCTGGTCCTTACTGCCCCCCCAGATGAGCCCCGGTCCTTCCTCACCGCCCCCCCAGATGAGCCCCGGTCCTCACCGCCCCTCCCAGATGAGCCCCGGTCCTCACTGCCCCTCCCAGATGAGCCCCGGTCCTCACTGCCCCCCCCAGATGAGCCCCGGTCCTCACTGCCCCTCCCAGATGAGCCCCGGTCCTCACTGCCCCTCCCAGATGAGCCCTGGTCCTCACTGCCTCCCCCAGATGAGCCCCGGTCCTTCTGCCCCTCCCAGATGAGCCCCGGTCCTCACTGCCCCTCCCAGATGAGCCCCGGTCCTCCCTGCCCCTCCCAGATGAGCCCCGGTCCTCACTGCCCCTCCCAGATGAGCCCTGGTCCTCACTGCCCCTCCCAGATGAGCCCTGGTCCTCCCTGCCCCTCCCAGATGAGCCCCGGTCCTCACTGCCCCTCCCAGATGAGCTCTGGTCCTCCCTGCCCCTCCCAGATGAGGCCCGGTCCTTCTGCCCCTCCCAGATGAGCCCCGGTCCTCCCTGCCCCTCCCAGATGAGCCCCGGTCTTCCCTGCCCCTCCCAGATGAGCCCCGGTCCTCCCTGCCCCTCTCAGATGAGCTCCGGTCCTCCCTGCCCCTCCCAGATGAGCCCCGGTCCTCCCTGCCCCTCCCAGATGAGCCCCGGTCCTCCCTGCCCCTCCCAGATGAGCCCTGGTCCTCCCTGCCCCTCCCAGATGAGCCCCGGTCCTCCCTGCCCTCCCAGATGAGCCCCGGTCCTCCCTGCCCCTCCCAGATGAGCCCCGGTCCTCCCTGCCCCTCCCAGATGAGCCCCGGTCCTCCCTGCCCCTCCCAGATGAGCCCCGGTCCTTACTGCCCCCCCCCAGATGAGCCCCAGTCCTTCTGCCCCTCTCAGATGAGCCCCGGTCCTCCCTGCCCCTCCCAGATGAGCCCCGGTCCTCCCTGCCCCTCCCAGATGAGCCCCGGTCCTCCCTGCCCCTCCCAGATGAGCCCCGGTCCTCCCTGCCCCTCCCAGATGAGCCCCGGTCCTCCCTGCCCCTCCCAGATGAGCCCCGGTCCTTACTGCCCCTCCCAGATGAGCCCCGGTCCTCACTGCCCCTCCCAGATGAGCCCCGGTCCTTACTGCCCCCCCCCAGATGAGCCCCAGTCCTTCTGCCCCTCCCAGATGAGCCCCAGTCCTCACTGCCCCTCCCAGATGAGCCCTGGTCCTCCCTGCCCCTCCCAGATGAGCCCCGGTCCTCACTGCCCCTCCCAGATGAGCCCCGGTCCTCACTACCCCTCCCAGATGAGCCCCGGTCCTTACTGCCCCTCCCAGATGAGCCCCGGTCCTCACTGCCCCTCCCAGATGAGCCCCGGTCCTTCTGCCCCTCCCAGATGAGCCCTGGTCCTTACTGCCCCCCCAGATGAGCCCCGGTCCTTCTGCCCCTCCCAGATGAGCCCCGGTCCTCACTGCCCCTCCCAGATGAGCCCCGGTCCTCATTGCCCCTCCCAGATGAGCCCTGGTCCTTACTGCCCCCCCAGATGAGCCCCGGTCCTTCCTCACCGCCCCCCCAGATGAGCCCCAGTCCTCACCGCCCCTCCCAGATGAGCCCCGGTCCTCACTGCCCCTCCCAGATGAGCCCCGGTCCTCACCGCCCCCCCCAGATGAGCCCCGGTCCTCACTGCCCCTCCCAGATGAGCCCCGGTCCTCACTGCCCCTCCCAGATGAGCCCTGGTCCTCACTGCCTCCCCCAGATGAGCCCCGGTCCTTCTGCCCCTCCCAGATGAGCCCCGGTCCTCACTGCCCCTCCCAGATGAGCCCCGGTCCTCCCTGCCCCTCCCAGATGAGCCCCGGTCCTCACTGCCCCTCCCAGATGAGCCCTGGTCCTCCCTGCCCCTCCCAGATGAGCCCTGGTCCTCACTGCCCCTCCCAGATGAGCCCCGGTCCTCACTGCCCCTCCCAGATGAGCTCTGGTCCTCCCTGCCCCTCCCAGATGAGGCCCGGTCCTTCTGCCCCTCCCAGATGAGCCCCGGTCCTCCCTGCCCCTCCCAGATGAGCCCCGGTCTTCCCTGCCCTCCCAGATGAGCCCCGGTCCTCCCTGCCCCTCTCAGATGAGCTCCGGTCCTCCTTGCCCCTCCCAGATGAGCCCCGGTCCTCCCTGCCCCTCCCAGATGAGCCCCGGTCCTCCCTGCCCCTCCCAGATGAGCCCTGGTCCTCCCTGCCCCTCCCAGATGAGCCCCGGTCCTCCCTGCCCCTCTCAGATGAGCTCCGGTCCTCCCTGCCCCTCCCAGATGAGCCCCGGTCCTCCCTGCCCCTCCCAGATGAGCCCCGGCCCTCACTGCCCCTCCCAGATGAGCCCCGGTCCTCACTGCCCCTCCCAGATGAGCCCCGGTCCTTCTGCCCCTCCCAGATGAGCCCCGGTCCTTCTGCCCCTCCCAGATGAGCCCAGGTCCTCACTGCCCCCCCCCAGATGAGCCCCGGTCCTCACTGCCCCCCCCAGATGAGCCCCGGTCCTCACTGCCCCTTCCAGATGAGCCCCGGTCCTTCTGCCCCTCCCAGATGAGCCCCGGTCCTCACTGCCCCTCCCAGATGAGCCCCGGTCCTTCTGCCCCTCCCAGATTAGCCCTGGTCCTTCTGCCCCCCCCAGATGAGCCCCTTTGTCAGGTTCCTAAACCCGGAGTCACAGCAGGAAGTCCTTGGACGATCAGCCTGCACCTGCTGCATTCCCCGTCGCCTGGGCCAGGTGGCTCTGCTCTGGGGTCCCCACCCCCGTCGGTTGTCTCACATCAGACAGCCAGGCACCTGGTAACATTTGATAGTCTCTGCTTCGTTAAGCTACGGGGGGGTAAATAGCTGGGGGGGGGGAGGGGAGGGGTGGTACGTGGGCCTGGGACCGGAGACCTGGGTCCTAGTCTCTGCTCTCTGTGTACCAGGCACGTGACCTCGTGACCTCGGCAGGGCCCTTACGTTCACCTCCCGTGGGCCAGCAGCCTCTGCCTCTCCCTGTTGGAAGTGCAGACTCTCAGGCCCGCCCAGACCTCCTCCGGAGGCTGACTCCGCATTTTAACGCATTTTAACGAGATGCCCGAGGGGCTGTCAGCACATAGAAGCAGTAGCAGCCAAGTGGAGATGCCCCAGGCCCAGAAATAATCGGCAGGGGCCAGGAGGCGGACACAGAACCTGCCCGTCCAAAGCGGGGCCCATCCCTGTTCCACCCCAGACAGTTGGTGCTCAGCCCAAACTCATGCTGGGGTTTCCCCACCCTCTGGTTTCCCATCAAAGCTTGAAGCCTGTACTTTACACGAAACCTCCCCTTTTAAAGACGTGGTCTTGAAAAATATTAAATGCTGCATAGGAAAAACCCTCGTGCCCTCGAAATCCGTCCACAGGCCACAGTTGGCCTGCTGGCCGCCTGCTGGGACTTCTGGGCTGAACGACCTCTGACGGTTCTTGTAGCTCTCAGAACATGTCACACCATGTGGGACCACACTGACCACGTCCTTGCCCAAGAGATCTGGAGGCCGATCTCCCAGAGCTGACCACAGAGGGGTATGTGTTCACTGACTTTCCCTAGAGGTCCCCTTCTACCGAGCCTGCAAAAGGCCTGAGATGTTTGGACATATGGACCATGGGACACATTCATAACTGTGCACTGTTCAGAGAAGAGTTGAGTTGAGATGGTATTTCTCCAGTTTACTGAGCCATCTGTTGATCAACTCAAGCCCCAGGATGAACCCCAAGGTGCCCAGAAGAGGGACACTCACAGACGGACATGGTGGCGAGCCAGGCAGGTCTCGGCAGCAGCGCTCAGCCCTCAGGAACGGGACCCCCGAGCGCCCATCACCGTCCACCCCGGGGCCAGGCTCACCCTCCTGTTCTCCAGAGGAAAACGCCAGGCCCTGAGGGGTAGGGGACTTTCCTGCCCTCTCCCTATTGGTCAAGGATGGAGCCGGAACATAAGCCCAGTTCTCTGGATCCGAATCCTGTGAGGCTACATCTCCACCCCAGAGTTGCAGTGGCCAGAGAAGTTGTGAAAACAGTGGGTTAAGCCAAGTTAAAGAGCAAAACAAAAATCCCACTGCAGGACTTGTCAGAGACTTTACTAACAGACTGAATCTTCAAGAGAGAGAGATGGTATGTCCCCAAATTACTTGGCCATGAACAGCCCTTCTCTAAGTGTGCATGTCACAGTAAACCCTCAGTCCGCCCAGGGAGCCCCTCGCGTCCTTCTCCAGCCCCCACAGGGATGAGTCAGTCAGTGCTCACGAGCACACAGTGGCTCTTCCAGACCGTTCCCTATCCCCTGTGCTCTGCTCCGTCGTTGCCACCTTCGGACACGGTCAACGCACGAGTCAGATGTCCACCAGTTTAGAGCCGGTCGTCAGATAGCAACAACGTCGGAATACACCAAACTCAACTTCCCATTATTTCCTTTCGGCCAAACGTGTCCGTTGGCCCAGATTCAAAGTAAAAAAATTGGGGGAGCACCAGAGGCTAGGCCAGCGGCCGCCTGTGCCGGTGACGCCGCCTCTGCACCAGCCCTGTGCTGTCAGTCCTGGGGGGCAGGAGTCCAGGCCGGCACCGCCATCCTGTGGCTACTGCCTCGGGGCCGACAAAGATTCGGCCACCAGGGGCCGGGAAAGAGACCGCGAACGGCTTACCCGCAGCAGCCGAGTCCGCCGAGTCCCCCGGGTCCGCCGAGTCCCCTGATTCTGCTGATTCCTCTGAGTCTGCGGATTCCGCCGATTCGGCCTGGTCCACCGAGTCCGCTGAGTCTGCCGGGTCCGCCAGGTCTGCCGATTGCCCCGAGTCTGCGGATTCTGCCGATTCTGCCGGGTCCGCCGAGTCTGCTGAGTCTGCCGGGTCCGCCGGGTCCGCCGATTCCCCCGAGTCTGCGGATTCCACTGATTCCGCCGATTCCCCCGATTCCGCCGATTTTGCCGGGTCCGCCGGGTCCGCCGAGTCTGCTGAGTCTGCTGAGTCCAGGGCCGCCTCGGGAGCTGGGAGGGAAGCCCAAGGCATTCACGTGAGAGGTTTACCGGCGTCACGGACACGAGTGGGCCAGTGCGGTGGCCAGGACATCCTGGCGAAGGCGGCACCATCACGGGCAGGTCAGCATTTCAGAAGCCCGATTCCGAACTGGCTAGTCCCTGAACCACCTTCCCCCTGGGTGAGCCCCTGGCTTTTGGACACGAACTGGAGCATCTTTGAGTTTCCCCGGGAAGAGCCCTCGGGAGACCCGAGGCTACGAAACCATAGCCGAGGGCCCAAAGCCACAGTTCTCACCAGGGGGCACCGTGACTTCTTGCAAACATCCCACACTCTTCCGATTGAAAAACGACCGAACTAAGAAGTATCCTCGCCCTTGTCTATACCCTCACCCCATCGCACCCTCACCGCGCGGGCCCTGCAGGAGGGGGGCCCTGGGCTGCGAGAGCGGCAGCGGGGTGGGGTGTCGTGGGCGTTTGTTGCCTCGGTTACTCAGTAACAAAAGGTAACAACACAAGGTTTTAACCTGTTCCTTCAGCTTTTCCCAATGGCTGCGTAAAATTGCCCCAGGGACTAGAACCCGCAACGCGGGCCGTCGCGAGCCAGGAGAGACCCACACCGCTCTCTGAGGAGCAGCTTCCCAAGGAACTTAGGACATGGACACACAGAGAGTCATTCCCGGAACCGCCCCTCCCCGAGCTGGGCACAGCGCCCCGGGTCCCAGGGTTGCCCACAGCACCTCTTCCCTTCTTCGGGCTGGGGACAGGCTGTGACATCGGCGCCCCTGAGACGGTGACCAAGGGCCTGCGTCTCCTCGGTCTGAGAGGTTCCCAGTGCTAAGACTGGGGAAACCCTAGGCACACTGGGGCAGTGCATTGACTTGCTCCGGGACCCCGAGGCTTCCGGGGTTGGCCTGCCTGGCAGGTCCGGCCCTGCTGCTTGGGAGGGGAGTCCGGGTACCTGCGCAGACGGCCCCAGCGTCCTCATGATGCCCACAGTTGTGGATGGACAGGCCGAGGTGGTGGCAGTGGCCCGGGCTGGCCTCGTTGCCTGTGCACCACACGTCGTCCAGAAAAATGGGGCCAGGGCCGTCACCAAAGACTGCTCCTCGGGGCCACCAGGGCCACCCCACAGCCCAGCTGCTGGTGCACCACCTGGGCGGCGGGCAGGCCCCAGAGGTCGTCGCACGAGGTCGTCGCACGAGGTCCCCCAGGTGCCGTTGTGGTGGGTCTCCACGCGGCCCCCCACCGGCTGTCCCGGCCACCAGCCTCACCACAGGCAGATCTGCAGGGACCCAGAGCCAGATGGGCCTGAGAAGGTCCCCTCGACCCTGCAGTGCGCCAGCGCGTCGGGTTGGGGAATTCTGCCCCGTCTGCCCTTCACCCACCGGGCAGCACTCACTCCCGGGGACGACAGAGACGGCGGGGACAGATGGCTGCTCTTGGATCTGAAATTTAGCACAAACTACGTGCTTTCCCTCACTGGGCAGTTTCTCCGGGAATCCAGGCCCTGGCTCTGGACAGACACACGCCCCTAGAAACCCTGCGTCACCCTCTTCCGGGCGGCGCCTTCTAGCACCTCCGAAAACTCGGACCCTTTCGGCCGGATGCCGGGGCGGCAGGCTTTGCATTGCCAGCCCAGGGCTTCGGAGAGCAAGATGAAGTTCTCAGAACAGAACTAACTTCACTCTCCTTGAATTTAAACATTATAAGGTGTTTATGGAGGAGGATGGAGGGGTCGGGGTTGGACCGGCACAGGGAGGAAGAGATGGTGCTGCTACGGGCGAAGGTAAGAAATCGGCCAAGTGAACCGACCTCGAGCCAAAAGCAGAAGGTGATTCTCAGTTTCCAGGCTGCAGAGATGGGGCTGGTTCAGCAGGTCCCCTCGAGAAGGGCCCAAACTGCACTACAGGCCTTCCGGGGATGCCCCGAGGGTAGGGGTGACGGGACTGTCCTCGGAAAGGAGAGTCCATGCGAGGAGAGCCCACCATCTCGCCAGCTTGCCCCCCGGGAGCACACGACCATTCCCGCGGCGCGGGGCTGTGGGTGTGGAGCTGGCTACGTTTCTGTGAGCCCCAGACACGGGGGCCCAGCCTTAGCAGCACAGTTACAGGATGTGACAAGGGAGAAGGACCTGGTGGATGGAGACCGCGTGGCTGCTCCCCAGGGAGGAAGAGACTGTTCGTGGAGAGAGAAACAGTCATCACGAGCACATTCCAAACGAACAATGAAAGTCCACGCTCTTCCCCACGCTGTCGAACCCCACGCACGAGTTTGCCTTCACAAAGCCCCTTCCGCCCACCAACCGAATAGCTTTGCAGTGTGACGGTGGCTCACAAAGGTGTACACGTTATTCTGATTACGAAGAAGAGAACGGAAGAAAGAAGACCGACGTTGGGGTTGTGCGAATGTGACCCACAGGCCTGGGGTGCACCGGAGCCCGCGTTCTGCCTCCTGGGTCCCAGGTGAGGCTGCAGGGGGACGAACAGCTCCTGTCCTGGGCCCACCTGCCCCCGGGCCCCTCTGCCCTCTCTGTCCGCTCGGCCCCTTTGGCATGAATCATCGCTTTGGGTCAAGAGCTGGTATCTTAGGGTCCTGCTGAGATGCAGATGTTATGTGTGGAAGGGGCGACGGGTCAACCTGTGCGCACCCAGCGCAGAGAGAGCAGGGCTCTGGGGGGACATGAAGCAGCCGGGGGTCCTCCTGCTCTGGAAGGGCGGCGGGTCTGGTGTTCAGAGCGGGCACAAGGGAGGTGCAGGCTGGTGAGGGAGGCTCTGCTCTAGATGGCTAGTCACTGACCAGCAGATAAACCCGCGTGACCCACAGACACCGGGATGTCCGGCTGCTGCAGACCCTGAAGAGGCAGAGGAAGCAGGAGGGTGGCCGGGCTCAGAGATGCTGTCGCAGTTTGAACGCGGTTGATGAGCTGGAGTAAACAGCTGTCCCTAGCACCGGGGCTTCACAGCCAAGTGTGGGGTATCACCTGGCTAAAAACTCAGAGGCAGAGACTCTGAAAGAATTTGGCCCGAACCCCGATAAAAGCTGGCCCCGGGAGGGCAGACACTGGCCCAGCTGTCTGTAGACCACCTGGGCATCCACGTGTCAGCATGGTCCAGCCCTCGCACCTGCTTGACGCGTTCACCAGCCGCAGGCCCTGACCTTGGTGGACATTCCAAGTGACGACCTCCATCAGGACTCATCCAGAACGGTGGCCGCCAGGAGCCCAGGTCCCGGGAAACTGCGCCCCGCGTGGATAACACCCCCTCCTCCTTCACCGCGTTGCATTGCGTTGCATTGCTTTTGCGTTGAGTATCATTCAGTGTGGTTTTCTAGGTCACCGTTGGTTAAGAAGCTGTTTTGCCCTTAGCAACTGGCCCAGCGGCCTGCCCCCAGCACAGCTACCCCCCCCCATCCCTGCGCTGGGAAACCTCTGTGTCTGACGCCCCCAGGGTGTGGGGCTTCTGCACGAGAACCCGTCGTGCACGCTAACTGGGCTGTGTCCTTGCTCATGTCCCTCAGATGACAGCAATCGTTCCCACAGATGCCTCTCTGGCGGTCATGACAGGCTGGCCCACGTCCAAAGGGCAGTTACAAAGAAGGGCAGCGACGGGATGTGCTCAGAACACAGCCAAAGCGAGCTCACGGCAGAAATGGGGAGAGATTTGGGGTCAGCGGGTACCCCATTCACCTTCCTAGGCGCCAGCTTCTAACCAGCCCCATTAGCCATCCGGCACCCCACACCTTCTTTCCCTCCCTCTTCCCACCCACACATCTCCTGGGTGAACTCAGACGTCACAGCCTTCCTCCCGCTGCAGCCCGGGGGCCTGTGGCCGTGGGGAGGCGGTCCGCGTGGGGACACTGTCCCACAGAAATGCCGGAGGCTTTCTGGGCTGAAACTCTGCCACGGGAAGGCCACTGCAGAGAGGGTTACCTGTGGGTGTGGGCACCGCTGTTGGCTTTGGAGAAGATGCTAAGGACAGACAGAAAAGAAAGACAAAAATTATACACCTTAGGCGCCAGACACGTTTCACTCAGCCGGCTGTCGGTGGGCTCTCTGCCTTTCGCATCACCTACAGGCTCTGAGTTTAAGTGGTTCCCTCCCCAGGGGCTTTTTCTGTGGGGAGCATCGCCCACGGGTGTGCCCACCGCCAGTGATCCAAGCCCAAGGGGTCAAAGCATGGAGCTGGAGAGGTACGTTTGTGAGAGATACATTTTCAAGTCGGGGCTCTGTCCTTGGCACAGTGCCCCCCAAGGCTTCCGCCGGAGGTTCGGGGTGTTCCTCTTTCCCCAGCTCTGCCCTGCACATTGCATTTCGCTCTCAGAGCACCGCATGGAAAGCGGCCGACCACCGGGACCCGGACAGCTGCTGGCCAGCCTGAGTCGGGGACACGCTAAGAAGCGGCGTTTCGGCCCCTTCATCCGTCACAGTCCCGTGGGGCGGAGGCAGCGGGCAGACGTCGGGGCCTGGCTGGCTCCCAGCGCGCCCTCGTGGCCACGTGGCCTGGCCCTCTGCCCCGACATCGCTGAGTCCCACGCGGGCTCAGGAAGTGACTGCTGTGCCCGCCTCGACCTGGGCCAGAGGAGGACGCCCCGGCCCTCAGGGCCCCGCGGCGTGAGGACGACCCATCTCGGGCATTTGGCCCCAAACCAGCCCCTAACACCCCAGGGGGCTCTGTCAAAGCAAGTCCCGGATGGGTAGTTCAGAGCGGGGGAGTTACCTGGAGGCGGGCGGCTCCCCCAGGCTGGCGGTGGTGAGGGAGGCAGGGAGGCTGCAGAGACAATCAGAAGGTGAGGGCAGGTCGCACCCTCCATTCTGAACCCTGACAGGTCAGCTTGCTTATTTGAATCAGGGGGGTCCATGTCGTGTTGTGGGGAGAAACGGCACCCAGTCTGGGACCTGAGAATGGCCCTGAGTTACCATGGTTACAGCCACCAGGTGTCCTGGGTCTTAGCGTTCATGTCTGTTCTGCCACCGGACACTGCAACATCATTTTGTGATTTAAAAAAATTTTTTGGCAAACTATGGCCCCAGTGATGGTTGTCTAGGGTGGATCACCTGTCTGGATAGCGGCACTGGTTTTTTCCTTCTTCTGGGAGCATGTGTTTTGCCTCCCAGGGTAAATATCAGTTTTCAAAGGGCAGACCATGTTTGCCCAAGGGCACACTTTGGCAACCTCGGCGCTGGCAGGGCACAGAAGGGTGCAGCAGGGAGCAGCAGGGAGCAGAAGGGAACAGAAGGGCACAGAAGGGTGCAGCAGGGAGCAGAAGGGAGCAGCAGGGAGCAGCAGGGAGCAGCAGGGAGCAGAAGGGAGCAGCAGGGAGCAGAAGGGAACAGAAGGGAGCAGCAGGGAGCAGCAGGGAGCAGCAGGGAGCAGCAGGGAGCAGCAGGGAGCGGAAGGGAGCAGCAGGGAGCAGAAGGGAACAGAAGGGAGCAGCAGGGAGCAGAGGGAGCTGCAGGGAGCAGCAGGGAGCAGCAGGGTGTGGAAGGGAACAGCGGGGAGCAGCAAGGAGCAGCAGGAGCAGCGGGGAGCAGCAAGGAGCAGCAGGGAGCAGAGGGTGCAGCAGGGAGCAGCAGGGAGCAGCAGGGAGCAGAAGGGAGCAGCAGGGAGCAGCAGGGAGCAGCAGGGAGCAGCAGGGAGCAGAGGGAGCAGCAGGGAGCAGAAGGGAGCAGCAGGGAGCAGAAGGGAACAGAAGGGAGCAGCAGGGAGCAGCAGGGAGCAGAAGGGAGCAGCAGAGAGCAGAAGGGAACAGAAGGGAGCAGCAGGGAGCAGAAGGGAGCAGCAGGGAACAGAAGGGCACAGAAGGGAGCAGCAGGGAGCAGCAGGGAGCAGAAGGGAGCAGCAGGGAGCAGAAGGGAACAGAAGGGAGCAGCAGGGAGCAGCAGGGAGCAGCAGGGAGCAGCAGGGAGCAGCAGGGAGCAGAGGGAGCAGCAGGGAGCAGCAGGGAGCAGAGGGAGCAGAGGGAGGAGCAGGGAGCAGCAGGGAGCAGCAGGGAGCAGCAGGGAGCAGCAGGGAGCAGCAGGGAGCAGCAGGGAGGAGCAGGGAGCAGCAGGGAGGAGCAGGGAGCAGCAGGGAGCAGAGGGGAGCAGAAGGGAGCAGCAGGGAGCAGAGGGAGCAGCAGGGAGCAGCAGGGAGCAGAAGGAGCAGCAGGGGAGCAGCAGGGAGCCAAGGTAGCAGCAGGGAGCAGCAGGGGAGCAGCAGGGAGCAGCAGGGTGCGCAGGGAGCAGCGGGGAGCAGAAGGGAGCAGCAGGGAGCAGAAGGGAGCAGAGGGAGCAGCAGGGAGCAGCAGGGAGCAGAAGGGAGCAGAAGGGAGCAGCAGGGAGCAGAAGGGAGCAGAGGGAGCAGCAGGGAGCAGCAGGGAGCAGAAGGGAGCAGCAGGGAGCAGAAGGGAGCAGCAGGGAGCAGAAGGGAGCAGCAGGGAGCAGAATGGAGCAGAAGGGAGCAGCAGGGAGCAGCAGGGAGCAGCAGGGAGCAGAAGGGAGCAGCAGGGAGCAGAAGGGAGCAGCAGGGAGCAGCAGGGAGCAGCAGGGAGCAGAAGGGAGCAGCAGGGAGCAGCAGGGAGCAGAGGGAGCAGCAGGGAGCAGCAGGGAGCAGAAGGGAGCAGCAGGGAGCAGAAGGGAGCAGCAGGGAGCAGAATGGAGCAGAAGGGAGCAGCAGGGAGCAGCAGGGAGCAGAATGGAGCAGAAGGGAGCAGCAGGGAGCAGAAGGGAGCAGAGGGAGCAGCAGGGAGCAGCAGGGAGCAGCAGGGAGCAGAGGGAGCAGCAGGGAGCAGCAGGGAGCAGCGGGGAGCAGAGGGAGCAGAGGGAGCAGCAGGGAGCAGAAGGGAGCAGGGGAGCAGCAGGGAGCAGCAGGGAGCAGAGGGAGCAGCAGGGAGCAGCAGGGAGCAGCAGGGAGCAGAGGGGAGCAGCAGGGAGCAGCAGGGAGCAGCAGGGAGCAGAAGGGAGCAGCAGGGAGCAGCAGGGAGCAGCAGGGAGCAGAGGGAGCAGCAGGAGCAGCAGGGAGCAGAAGGAGCAGAAGGGAGCAGCAGGGAGCAGCGAGGGGCAGCAGGGAGCAGCAGGGAGCAGCAGGGAGCAGAAGGGAGCAGCAGGGAGGCAGCAGGGGAGCAGCAGGGAGCGCAGCAGGGAGCAGAGGGAGCAGCAGGGAGCAGCAGGGAGCAGCAGGGAGCAGCAGGGAGCAGCAGGGAGCAGCAGGGAGCAGAGGGGAGCAGCAGGGAGCAGCAGGGAGCAGCAGGGAGCAGCAGGGAGCAGCAGGGAGCAGCAGGGAGCAGCAGGGAGCAGCAGGGAGCAGCAGGGAGCAGCAGGGAGCAGAGGGAGCAGCAGGGAGCAGCAGGGAGCAGCAGGGAGCAGCAGGGAGCAGCAGGGAGCAGCAGGGAGCAGCAGGGAGCAGCAGGGAGCAGCAGGGAGCAGCAGGGAGCAGCAGGGAGGAGCAGGGAGCAGCAGGGAGCAGCAGGGAGCAGCAGGGAGCAGAGGGGAGCAGCAGGGAGCAGAAGGGAGCAGCAGGGAGCAGCAGGGAGCAGAGGGAGGAGCAGGGAGCAGCAGGGAGCAGAAGGGAGCAGCAGGGAGCAGCAGGGAGCAGAAGGGAGCAGAGGGGAGCAGCAGGGAGCAGAAGGGAGCAGAGGGAGCAGCAGGGAGCAGAAGGGAGCAGCAGGGAGCAGCAGGGAGCAGAAGGGAGCAGCAGGGAGCAGCAGGGAGCAGAAGGGAGCAGCAGGGAGCAGAAGGGAGCAGAAGGGAGCAGCAGGGAGCAGAGGGGAGCAGCAGGGAGCAGCAGGGAGCAGCAGGGAGCAGAAGGGAGCAGCAGGGAGCAGCAGGGAGCAGCAGGGAGCAGCAGGGAGCAGAAAGGAGCAGCAGGGAGCAGCAGGGAGCAGAAGGGAGCAGCAGGGAGCAGCAGGGAGCAGCAGGGAGCAGCAGGGAGCAGAAGGGAGCAGCAGGGAGCAGCAGGGAGCAGCAGGGAGCAGCAGGGAGCAGCAGGGAGCAGAAGGGAGCAGCAGGGAGCAGCAGGGAGCAGAAGGGAGCAGCAGGGAGCAGAAGGGAGCAGAAGGGAGCAGCAGGGAGCAGCAGGGAGCAGCAGGAGCAGCAGGGAGCAGAAGGGAGCAGAGGGAGCAGCAGGGAGCAGAGGGAGCAGAGGGAGCAGCAGGGAGCAGAAGGGAGCAGCAGGGAGCAGAAGGGAGCAGCAGGGAGCATAAGGGAGCAGCAGGGAGCAGAGGGGAGCAGCAGGGAGCAGAAGGGAGCAGCAGGGAGCAGCAGGGAGCAGCAGGGAGCAGAAGGGAGCAGAAGGGAGCAGCAGGGAGCAGAAGGGAGCAGAGGGAGCAGCAGGGAGCAGAAGGGAGCAGAAGGGAGCAGCAGGGAGCAGAAGGGAGCAGCAGGGAGCAGCAGGGAGCAGCAGGGAGCAGAAGGGAGCAGAGGGAGCAGCAGGGAGCAGAAGGGAGCAGAAGGGAGCAGCAGGGAGCAGCAGGGAGCAGAAGGGAGCAGCAGGGAGCAGCAGGGAGCAGCAGGGAGCAGAAGGGAACAGAAGGGAGCAGCAGGGAGCAGCAGGGAGCAGAAGGGAGCAGCAGGGAGCAGAAGGGAGCAGCAGGGAGCAGAAGGGAGCAGAAGGGAGCAGCAGGGAGCAGCAGGGAGCAGCAGGGAGCAGCAGGGAGCAGAAGGGAGCAGCAGGGAGCAGAAGGGAGCAGCAGGGAGCAGCAGGGAGCAGAAGGGAGCAGCAGGGAGCAGCAGGGAGCAGCAGGGAGCAGCAGGGTGCGGAAGGGAGCAGCGGGGAGCAGAGGGAGCAGCAGGGAGCAGCAGGGAGCAGCAGGGAGCAGCAGGGAGCAGAAGGGAGCAGAAGGGAGCAGCAGGGAGCAGCAGGGAGCAGCAGGGAGCAGAAGGGAGCAGCAGGGAGCAGCAGGGAGCAGCAGGGAGCAGAGGGAGCAGCAGGGAGCAGCAGGGAGCAGAGGGGAGCAGCAGGGAGCAGAGGGGAGCAGCAGGGAGCAGCAGGGAGCAGAGGGAGGAGCAGGGAGCAGCAGGGAGCAGCAGGGAGCAGCAGGGAGCAGAGGGAGGAGCAGGGAGCAGCAGGGAGCAGCAGGGAGCAGCAGGGAGCAGAGGGGAGCAGCAGGGAGCAGCAGGGAGCAGAAGGGAGCAGCAGGGAGCAGCAGGGAGCAGAGGGAGCAGCAGGGAGCAGCAGGGAGCAGAAGGGAGCAGCAGGGAGCAGCAGGGAGCAGCAGGGAGCAGAGGGAGGAGCAGGGAGCAGCAGGGAGCAGAAGGGAGCAGAAGGGAGCAGCAGGGAGCAGAGGGAGCAGCAGGGAGCAGCAGGGAGCAGCAGGGAGCAGAGGGAGGAGCAGGGAGCAGCAGGGAGCAGCAGGGAGCAGAAGGGAGCAGCAGGGAGCAGAGGGAGGAGCAGGGAGCAGCAGGGAGCAGCAGGGAGCAGCAGGGAGCAGCGGGGAGCAGCAGGGAGCAGCAGGGAGCAGAAGGGAGCAGCAGGGAGCAGAAGGGAGCAGAAGGGAGCAGGAGGGAGCAGAGGGGAGCAGCAGGGAGCAGAAGGGAGCAGCAGGGAGCAGCAGGGAGCAGCAGGGAGCAGCAGGGAGCAGCAGGGAGCAGAGGGGAGCAGCAGGGAGCAGAAGGGAGCAGCAGGGAGCAGCAGGGAGCAGAGGGAGCAGCAGGGAGCAGAAGGGAGCAGCAGGGAGCAGCAGGGAGCAGCAGGGAGCAGCAGGGTGCGGAAGGGAGCAGCGGGGAGCAGAAGGGAGCAGCAGGGAGCAGAAGGGAGCAGAGGGAGCAGCAGGGAGCAGCAGGGAGCAGCAGGGAGCAGAAGGGAGCAGCAGGGAGCAGAGGGAGCAGCAGGGAGCAGCAGGGAGCAGAAGGGAGGGGCCATGGAGCAGGACCAGGAGCTCCAGGGCTTACGAGGAAGGAACTCAGAGCTTCCATCACCCTAACCCACTACCCATCACTCTGTCCAGGGCCTGCTTCCACCCTCTCTGCTCTCTAAGCCCCCAGCCCTGGCTTCTGATGTCACACCCTGCATGATGTCACACCCTGCATGATGTCACACCCTGCATGGTTACAGCTCCTCTTTGCTCACAGCATTGATTCTGTCCCTTGACTTCTCTCTGCTCAGAACCTTCCAGTGACCCCACCTCCTGCTTGCCCTTCATCCTGGTCACTGTGGCCAGGTCTGGCTGAGGAGCCGACTTGCCTCTTCCTAGCCAAACCCGAAAGGATGTAGAGATGAACGGGGCTCTCGACTCCGACTACTGAACTTATTTGCAGAAACTCAGCTGGGATCAGGGTTGAACCAAAGAGATGTTCTCGGGGCCCTGACCCATCACTAGCGGACGTGAGCTCACTTGAGGTGGTACAGACTTATTGCATTAAAATGTAAAAGTTTACTTTTAGTTTGATCTAATTAGGACATTTTCAGATGTACAGGGCATGAATTGATGAGATAAGATAGTCCGTTGTATTTTAATTTTTAAACATTTTAGCACTGTCTTGCTGCTGCTGAATGTATTTTTGGTAGTGTCTCTTGGTGGTGAGATCCTGCTCTGTTCATGGTGCTGATACAAAGTATCCTTGCGAAGGAACGAGTTCTTTTAGTGAGGAAGGAAGAGTCCTAAAGGGAAGTCTTGAGACAGTTACAGTGTGGGTGGAAGGTGGGTGTGGCGGGGTTGTGCGGGGACCCCATGTGGCTGACATTTGGGAAACCGTGGCTGAAGGACAGTCCCGTGGGGTGTCATTGCGCCCCCCCCGCCTCAGCATCTGGGTACCTGAGCAGACGACACCGGCGTCCTCATGGTGGCCGCAGTTGTGGGAGAACCAGCCGTCATGCAGGCATTGCCAGAGTGTGTCCTCGGTCCCCACGCACTCCACGTCGTCCAGGGTGATGGGGCCCTGGCCTCGGCCGAAATGCGCCCTCCCGGGGGCCGCCACAGCCTCGCCACAGGCCAGCTGTCCGCACACCACCTGGGCATCGCGCAGGTCCCAGCTGTCGTCACACACGGTCCCCCAGCTGCCATTGTAGTGCAGCTCCACGCGGCCCTCGCACCGGTGACCGCCATCGGTCAGCCGGAGGGCCACCCCTGGAAAGGCAGACACCCCGTCACCGCAGTGGCGCTGCCCTGGAGGGAGACTGGCGTTCCCTCTGAGCAAACAGCTTCGGAGGGGGCGGCTCTCCCGGGGAGGGGACGACGTGGAGTAGCGTGGACGGTTGTCAGGTCAGTGGGACGTGTTGTCAAGCTTTTCCCCAGACAGGACTGTCTCCTTGAGAGGCCAAAGGAGCCCCTGGAAGCCCTGTGTGAAGTGGACGCACCGGGGGCCCCTGGCCCGGCCAGGAACACGGTCTCCGGGCAGGTGGGACCGAAGGACTGGCGGTTTGAATGAAACAGGCCAGACGCCAGCCGGCACGTCTCAGCAGAGGTGCGCTCTGGTATCAGGGTGCAGGGGGGCTCCCCGCTTCCTCCAGCAGATGCCGGGGTAACCGAAGGAGCAAGGGAACCCCTCTCCCAGGCCAGTCCCTGGGCACAGAGTCCGCGCTCGCTGTCACCATCAGCAGGCCCGGGGCTGAGGCCTGAAGGACCTACCTGTGTCCTCCTCTTGCGCCAGAGACTCGTAGGCGGCATGGAAGCCGATGTTGGTGACGATGGCGTCGCTGTGGAAGACCACGGCCAGGCGATTGGAGGAGGAGAGGAATATTGGGGTCACACGGGAACAGAACCTCCCCAGGGAGGAAGATTGGCTTTGGGGGCCATCGAAGATTTCGACGAAGTCGTAGGGGCAGCCATAGAAGTTTTCCAACCTGTGAAATAACGAGGTCGCTCAGCCTCACACCCGGCTCTTCCCAGCCGGTGCCGCCCGGGGCTTCAGGGAAGGTTCTGGAAAAGCTGTCTGAACCCTATCTCTCTTCACACAGGTCGAAGGAAATGAAGACTCTGTTGATGTCAGCAGTACGTATCTTTCTGTTCTAAAAATGTTGTACTTTTTCACGTTTTCATTCTACTGTGTTCTCTGAATCTACATGACAAGGGCGAGGGGTGAAAGGCGGGTAGTTTTGGCAAGTGCTTTGGTGAGAAGTACATTCTTCTTCCACCCGAGTAGGCTCCTCTCACTTCGCCCCCTTCAGAAGCAGCGAGGGGACCGGCTTTGTCCTCAGCCTGCCTGGGAAGGGCGGCCAAGGTGCTGTGCCCTGTTTCCCGCAGGTCCCTGGGCTGCAACCCGCCAGCTCCTGCCAGCGCCGCCCACCCCCCGGCGGCTCCTCGGGCCCTGATCTCGAGACCAGATCCTGGAACTGCGTCGCTGGGTTAAAAGGTCTGCGTATTCCATTTCGAGCACTGTCACCGAATGGGACTCAAGGCTCACCCTGCCTTTGAGAATCACACATGCAATTGTTTGGGGGAGGGTGAAGCTGAAGAACCTACTGGACAGGAAAGTAAAAACGGAAAGTTTGACTCACTCCACCACGTCAAATGTGAGTTTGACATGAGCCCCGACGTCCACTTGTATGTCCCAGGCACACACCACGTTTGTGGGGTATTTTTTAGGGTACCCGGGGCTGGAGAAGGAGCCCGAAGCATCTGTGAGCAGACCACCACAGTGGACATTTTCATCTGCAAGAAACAGGGAAGAGACTCCATCAGGAGGGGCGCTGACCTCTGCTGGTGCTTTTATTATATTATTTTATTTTTTAAAATGGATTTTTAGAGAGAGAGGGAGAGAGAGAAACATTAATGTGAGAGCGAAACATAGATCTGCCGCCTCCTGCACGCCCCCTACTGGGGATCGAGCCTGCAACTGGGCCTGTGCCCTGACCGGGAGTCAAACTGGCGACCTTTCTTTCATGGGACAAGGCCCAGCCAAGTGAGCTACACTGGCCAGGGCCCTGCTGGTGTTTTCGGAGGGGTCAGGAGGGGCAGAGTGAGGACAGACGTCAGGACTTGTTCCAGGGCTGATTCGGCCAGTAGCCGAAACACTGCGGCTCTGAGTTTCCAGCGCTGCGGTCCGTCAGGTGTCCCGTGTGTACTGCCGAGTCACAGGGCTTCTCCGAGAAGCCGCGGTCGTGACATACGCTGGAGGGGCCTTACGGGCCCACAGACGCAGGCAGGTCTCAGCGTGCGTTTCGATGCGGAGGACGCAACGACGGTGCAAACCAGAGCCTTTTCTCGGCACGGCGTGTGCAGACCAGCCTGGGGCACAAGGTCCCTCGTCTCCCAGACAAATCCGAGCTGAGACCGAGACCCAGGCTGCTCAAAACCCCCAGCTCGCGGCTTGGCGAAGGCCTCCCTGCGCACGTGCTCGCTTGGAAAAGGAAGGAAGGCCTCTGGGTACCAGAAGCGCTGACATCGAAAGCCGAGCCTAGAGAAACCCCGGGGAGGGTTTAAATAGAGGCAAAAAGTACCTGCAGGGGGGCTGTGAGCAGTTGAGTCTGAAATACACAGAGGAGCCCTGGCCGGTTTGGCTCAGCGGTTAGAGCGTCGGCCTGCGGTCTGGAGAGACCCGGGTTCGGTTCCCGCTAAGGGCACGTACCTCGGTTGCAGTTTGTCCCCGGCCCTGGTTGGTCGTGCGGGTGGCAGCCACTCGACGTGTCCCTTTCACGTCGATGTTTCTCTCTCTCTCTCTCCCTCCCACACTCTATCTGAACAAAAAATAGAAAAAATGTCCTCGGGTGAGGATAAAAAAAAAAAAGAAATACACAGAGGAAAAATGATACCGTGAGTGAGCACTTTTATCCGGAACACCCCTTTAAAATACGCGAAAGTACCATGGACCATGCGGAGCTGTGATCTCTGCGCCCGGGGCACAGAGATGCTTCTGGCTCTTTGAGGTCAGACCTTTGCCACCGCCCCGGTGCAGACGGCTGACGTTGGACGCAACTCGGGGAGGGCTGACCCGGCTTCTACTTCTGCTCAGCACAGAGTCCAGAGAATGGCCATCCCTGCAAGTCCTCAGCCCGTTCCCAGCAGACCCGACTCGAAACCCCGATCCGAACTCTCCATCCCTCCCCCCTCTCTCCCTCCCCTCCGTGGCTCCCCAGCCCCACCCTTTGGTCAGCACTAATGAGCTGCGTTGCTCTGGTTAATTAGCAACAGGGAATTTAACTCGATTGGGCTGCGATTCCAGGATTAACGAGCAGCCGGGATTCACACCCATCGGGGCACTGGCGGCGGGTTGGACTGGCGGGAGCTCTACCTGTGGTCCCCGCTGTGGGACTGTCCTCGACACCTGCGAAAGGCACAAGAGAGAGAGACAGTCACGTCCTTCGGGAAGGAAAACCAGGCACTTTGTGTCGGGATCAAGCCGTCCTACGGGGCAGTGGGGAGCGTCGCGTCAGACACCCTCCGTGTGGGTGAGAGGGGGGCGGCCCACATCGCGCCCGCTGGCTGTCCGGTCTCACGAGGGCTCCTCTGGCTGCCGGGACCACTAACGTCGAAAGCAGGCGTCTGTCCGCCTTTGCTGGGTGACGGGGCTGAAGGACGTTCGGATCGGAGTTCTGCTCGTCCCTCACGGCCGTGGGAGGGGACACCTACGGGTCCGGCCTGCCCTGGGATCCTGGCCATGCCTCCGTCGCCTTAGCAACAAAACAAGATGCTAATAGTCTCTATGGAGATCGTGTAGGGGACACAAGAACACCACTGGGCCCCAGCCAGTGTGGCTCAGTTGGTTGGAGCCTCGTCCTGTACACGGCAAGGTCATGGGTTCGATTCCTGGTCAGGGCACACGCCCAGGGTGTGGGTTCGATCCCCAGTCGGGTGCGTGTGGGAGGCGACCGATTGATGTCCAATGTTTCTCTCTCTCTCCCTTCCTCTCTCTCAAATCAGTGAGAGCATGTCCTTGGGTGAGGGTTAAAAACAAAACAAAGAAATGCAGAACAAGGCCTGGTGTCAGTACGGAACATGCCCTGGGCGCTCTTTGGTCACCAGCTACTATCCCTCCTCAGGGGAGAGGACCTGTCGCCCACACCGTGGCGTCTTCCCGGGAGTGGGGTGTCTGAAGGCACAGACCCTCTGTAACCACCACAACTTCCAAGGCAGGACCTCGAAGCATTTGCAGACACATGGGAGAGAAAGGAACTAGGTCTTGGTTTAGAAGATGGCTGAAGCTCAGGCCCCCTCCCGGCCGCGGTGGGCGCCCGCTCACCCGCACAGACGGCACTGGCGTCCTCCTGGTGCCCGCAGTCGTGGGCGAACCACCCGCTGTGTGGGCACCGCCACACCTGGGCCTCGCTGCCCGTGCACCGCACGTCGTCCAGCAGGATGTGGCCGGTGCCCCGGTCGAAGGAGCCCCGCGCTGACAGGGCCCGGCCGCAGCCGAGCTGCCGGCACACCACCGTGGCGTCGGTCAGGTCCCAGCTGTCGTCACACACGGTGCCCCAGGAGCCGTTGTAGAAAACCTCCACCCGGCCCTCACACCTGTGGCTGCCGTTCGCCAGTCGTAGGGACACACCTGGGGGACAGGAACAAAGGGCTTCTGAGCTGTGGTGCTGTCCCCAAACTCGAGGACCTTCTGCAGAGAGTGCTCAGCACGTGCGCACTTTCCCGTTCTGGCCGTGGACTCGGGTAGGGTCCCCTTCGTCCTGGTTTGCCCCAAGAGTCCCGATGCACGGCCTTGGCCACTCAGGAACACCCGGTAATCACTGGAGTCCCTTTATGTTTCTCAAAGTTTCCGGATGGGAGGGTAAAGGACAGGTCCCCCTAAGCAGAGCCCACGAGAGCCCCGAAACACCCCCACATCCTGCTGTGTACACGTCCCGGCGGTTTCTGGACTGGATGCAGCTGGAAGCAGGTGGGCTGGGGGTCGCAGTCGGACACAGTTTGGTCCCAGAAGGATGTGCCTACGGCATGTTCCCGTCCTTGGAGGGAGTGAGGCCCCATTGGGCCCCCCGTCCGCACACACAGCCAGGGCAGGCTCTGAGGACCGGTGTGTTTGCTGGACGGCAGAGCGGGGTGAGGGGTGGGCTGGGGGCTGTTGGTGTCAGAGGATGTCCCTCAGCCTGTCATTGATAAAGGTGGACTCGGCCTCTCTTCTCTTAAAGGGAAAGGACACAAATGAGATCTGGTCCCTGCAAGGCCCGCGTTCGGATACCCACCGCCCTCTCTTTCATCTTGTTGAACGGCGCTGTACAGAGCGTAAAACCCTGTGTTGGTCACCATCGTGTCACTTCTGAACACCACGGTCATGATGTTTGAGGAGGAGAGAAACGTGAGCTGGGCCCCGGCACAGAACCTGCCCAGGGAGAGGGTGGCCGCCTGCCGTCCGTCGAACACATCGATGAAGTCGTGAGTGCACCCGTAGAGGTCCTCCAACCTGCGGAGGCAAGGCAGGGTCACCCCCGACGAAACCTGCGGGAATGTCCTAAACAAAATCACTTGCTTTACATCCATCTGGACGCAGCCGCCATCCCTGTCACCTCCTTGCTCACCCCACGTGGGCATCGCCCCCAACACTGCTGGGATCTGCCCCCGCCCTTCCCTGTGGGGCTGGCTGGAGCCTTCATCCCTCTCACGTGCTCTCTGCTTCAGCCCACCCTGCCGTCTCTCTCAGCATCACCGTCTCTCTCAGCATCTTCGTCTCTACCTTGAGTGCCTCCCCCGACTCCTATTCAAGCTCTGCCTGGGGTGGCCCACAGGGTCTCACCGAGTAAAACTCCCACGAGGCCCAGCAAGGAGAAACGGTGGTGTGACCCCCTCCATGCTCCGAGCCTCCTGGTGTGAGCCAAGTGTGTCCCCGTGCCGCCCCGTGCCACCTGGGTGATCAGAGAGGCCGCCCCCACCATTCACCCAGGGCTCCCCTTGTTCCTGTCACTCGCCGTCTGATTCCCAGATCCAATGTGCACATGGTTTCCCCATGGTACTTACCACCTTCCCACTGGCTGACACTGTCCACCAAGTTACTGTTTCCTTCCAGTACCTCCCGCCTCCCTGTCCAGATCGCGCACTGCACGAGGGTAGCGATCGGGTCTGTCCAGCACTACAAGCCCAGTCCTAGACCAGGGTCCACACAGAGTGGGCTCAACAAATACATATTTAAAGAACCTCAACGTTTATCCAACACGGCAGAAGTGTGAGCTACACACAGTTGCACTTAAATAATAGTATGTGGGCTGTGATGTGTGTATGGCAAGTGCTCGGTGCACAGTGTAGGCTGGGTGCACAGTGTAGGCTGAGTACACAGTTTAGGGTCAGTGCAAAGTGTAGGCTCGGTACACAGTGTTGGCTCAATGCACAGTGTAGGCTGGGTGCACAGTGTAGGGTCAGTGCACAGTGTAGGCTGGGTGCATAGTGTAGGCTGAGTACACAGTGTAGGCTCGGTGCACAGTGTAGGCTGAGTACACAGTGTAGGCTCGGTGCACAGTGTAGGCTGAGTACACAGTGTAGGCTCGGTGCACAGTGTAGGCTCGGTGCACAGTGTAGGCTCAATGCACAGTGTAGGCTGGGTGCACAGTGTAGGCTCGGTGCACAGTGTAGGCTGAGTACACAGTGTAGGCTCATTGCACAGTGTAGGCTCGGTGCACAGTGTAGGCTCAATGCACAGTGTAGGCTGGGTGCACAGTGTAGGCTCAGTGCACAGTGTAGGCTGGGTGCACAGTGTAGGCTCGGTGGGCGCAACTACACGTATACACAGACCACTCAGTTTGCCAGCCTGCTTTTTGCGGGCCACACTGCTCCCATGAGGTAAGAGCCAAGGACCTCAAAATAACCAGTTTTTCCTCTTGTAGGATAAAGATTATGCCCTGGCCAGTTTGGCTCAGCAGTTAGAGTGTTGGCCTGCGGTCCGGAGAGACCCGGGTTCGGTTCCCGCTAAGGGCACGTACTTCGGTTGCAGTTTGTCCCCGGCCCTGGTTGGTCATGCGGGTGGCAGCCACTCGATGTGTCCTTTCACGTCGATGTTTCTCACTCTCTCTCCCTCCCACTCTATCTGTACAAAAAAATGGAAAAATATCCTCGGGTGAGGATAAAAAGAAAAAAAAGATTACATGTGCTGTGTGTGTAAGGTGACTGCAGTGTTGCAGTAACGGGGACACTGCAATCTGAGAAATCGTTTCACTAGAAAACAGGGCATAATTCACTTGGTAAGAAGGAACCAGCACACTTAAAATTTAGTGTATTTTACACAAACCGAGTGTGAAGCAAACCCTCATAGAAGCTGAAATAGAAAAAAAATGAGGCAAATTAGGGTTTCTGTCTCAGCACTTCGGACATTTGAGGCTGGAGACTTCTCCGTGGCGGGGCTGCCTTGTGAGCTGTAGATTTAGCAGCATCCTGGCCTCCACCCACCAGGTGGCAGTGGCTTCCCCTACCGGGACCATCAAAACTGCCTCCGGACGTAGCCGAGTGTCCTCGGAGGCTGTACACGTTGTTCCTAGGTGAGACTGACTGGAGCAAATAACCGTTAACTTTGTGTCCTACATTACAGCTGTTTTCCAGGAGCGATAAAATGGTACTCTGTGTCCCAAGACATTAGAACTGTGAATTAAATAGATCGGAACTACTTGGTACCACACCTTCCCACATGGCTTCCCGGAAGTGCAGGTGTAGAAATAATGGATGAATGGGTGAATGAATGAATGAATGAATGAATGAATGAGTGATAAATGCATTTCGCTCCGAATACACCGATCCCATCCCTCGCCGCCTACTCACTTGGCATCTGAGGGCAGCATTTACCACTCAGATCCGCGACTGCTGTGGGCGGCCCCACAGATAAAGCCGTGGCCCGTGGCCGGCCTGGGGCAGACGGCGTAACTGGGAGCAAGAGAGAGCGACCCAGATGCAGTGCGATCCAGGGCGGACAGATGAAACCAGGGTTAAGTGTTACTAGGGAAAGTAATGTTCTGATTAAAAAGTCACTTGTGCTTCTGCATGTGTGTAGGAATATGTACACATACAAACACACACTAAAATAGGGCGACTTCCTTTACAAATGGGTGATGGCTGGAGGAAGAACCTGGAAGTACAGGGCACAGGAGGAGAAGGTGTGAGCTGAGACGATTTAATTGATGGAAGAAAAGTCTTAGCTACAGAGAGAGGGAGTCGATTTGTTTCGTGGAGCATCATGGGAAGAATGAAGGCCAGAAACAGGCTGAGGACAGAGCTGGGTTCAGCCCGAGGAAGAAGTGTGTCTGCAGGCGGTGCGGGCTGGGCGTGCAGGGGTGAGGTCCCCGTGCTGGGCAGCTCGCTGAGGCTCCACAGCCTGGTGTCAGGGATGCTTGTGGGACAGTCTCCAACTGCATAGGAGGCTGAGCTCAGTGCTCAAGGGGGGAGGAGGGGAGGGTTTCAGATGGGGAAAGTGGGGATGGATGGAGACTTGCCTTGGGCTGGTGCACACACAGTGCAGTGTACTGAGGATGTGTTGCAGAATTGTGTTAACCTATATAATTTTGTTAACCAATGCCACCCCAATAAATTCAATAAGAAGAAAAAAAGACTCTTCTAAACTCAGATGACCAGACCAATTTTCACCTAAAATGTAAAAGGATTCTGCCAGCCAGTGTGGCTCAGTGGTTGAGCGTCGACCCTTGCACCAAGAGGTTGCCGGTTCGATTCCCAGTCAGGGCACATGCCCAGGTTGTGGACCTGATCCCCAGTGGGGGGTGTGCAGGAGGCGGCCAGTTGATGTTCTCTCTCATCGATGTTTCTATGTCTCTCTCCCTCTCCCTTCTTCTCTCTCTATAATCAATAAAGAAAAAAAATGTAAATGTAAAAGGATTTGTCACATGGTGCTATCGGCCGAATGCTTGTGTCCCCCTAGAATGCATAATATGACATTTAACCTCCAGCGTGGTATTAGGAAGCAGGACGGTTGGGAGGTGATTCGGTCGTGAGGGTGGAGCCCTCATGGATGGGATTAGTGCCCTTGCAGGGAGGCTCGACCTCTGGGGAAACGGTCCCCGCCAGACGAATCTCCTAGTCACTGACCTTGGGCCCAGCCCCCAGAACCGTAAGGAAGAAATATCTGTTGTTGGTCAAGCTGCCCAGTTCATGGCATTTGGGCGGAGCGGCCTGACGGGACGGAGACACAGCGCCGCCCGGAGGACAGCTGGACGCGGCTCTAAGCGAGCACCTGAAGCAGAGGGGCCGGGCTGCTCACCTCAGGCTTGGGATGGTCAGTTCTGCGTGGAACTGCTCGGGCAGGTGTATCACCCACACGCACTGCACGTCCGTGGGGTAGTCTGCGGGATACCCAGGACTGGAGAAGGAGCCCGAGAGACTTGACAGGACGCCCCCGCAAGAGCCACGTCCTCCTGTGAGACAGCGAGACGGCGGCGCGAGGCTTTTTCAGGCCCGCATGCTGCGTTTGCCCGGGCGCAGAAGCCAGCATCCCACCCAGCTCAGCTGTGACTCGCAATCGGCCGGCTCGCCCTGGCAGGGGCAGAGCTGTGGCCTGGCCGTGTGTGACGGGCCCCGATGGGGGCGGGAGGGGAAGAGGTGTGAGTGACAGGCAGGACCCTGACATGGTTGTGGGTTCGCCCAGGTGTGGGGTGTCCAGCCCCCAGCTCCCTGCCAGGCGGCCAGACGAACTCACGACCCACCGCCTCCCTCCCCTCCGGCAGCCAGGACAGGCAGGTGTCCGCGGTGCTGCCGTGATCCACCCAAGCAATCCCGTCGTCTCCGGAGGTACTTTCCTCGAACGGGAGTTACCTTGTGGCCCGGGAGCTTGAGGAATTACAGCTGCAAGAACCAGAACCAAGGAGAGTCAGGAGACAGCTTAGCAGCGTAGAATCGCTTTACACTTATGACCGAATGAAGGCGCCTGCCCCTCCTTGCTCGGCTGTCAGAGAGGAGGGCTGGGGACGCCACTCCATCCGGGAAACCAGCTCTCAGTTCGCTGTCCGAGCCCCGGCTCCTGCCCCCGGCCGCACATCAGGACCCCGTGGGAAGCTTGAATGTAAGTGACGACTGGGCGGGACCCTAGAGACTCTGACGTGGCTGCTCTGGGCGCCACCTGGACCCTGGGGGCTTTAAAAGCTCCCGGGTGGTCCCAGTGTCCAGGTCGGGACAGGTCAGACTTCTTATTCACTCTGCGGAGATGTGTCCAACCTACCTGGGGGTGTAGGAGTCCCAGCCGGAGCCCAGTCCCCAGCATCTGCACGCATGAGAAAAAGGTGAAGTTAGGCCCGGCCGGTGTGGCTCAGTGCTTGAGCATCGACCCTGCACCAAGAGGTCCCGGTTCGATTCCCGGTCACGACACATGCCCAGGTTGTGGACCTGATCCCCAGGGGCGGGCATGCAGGAGGCGGCAATTGATGTTCTCTCTCATCGATGTTTCTCTCTCTCCCTCCCTCTCCCTTCCTCTCTCTCTCAAATCAATAAAGAAAAATTACTTTTTAAAAACGGCCAAGCCAGGAAAGCTAAGCTAAGTTCCAGGAAGGTAAAGAAATGGAGACTTTCTGGTGTGGGCGGGTGTCGCGCAGGCTGGCTTCCTGCCACGCCAGCAAGAACAGAGCGCGTTCCAGCGTCGGGAGATGCCGCAGAGAGCAGGCCCTGCCCTCCGTGTGGCCCTGGAGTGTGTGCCAGGCTCCCAGCGGTCTGTGTCAACCTGGCCAAGGGACATGCCCCTGTCGGGCCACTGTCCTTAGCTCACCTGGCCCTGCTCTGTGCACACCGTCCATCACCCAGATGCCACTGGAGATCAGAAAGAAACTGCCCTGGGAGGAGGGGCTACCTGAGCAGATGACACCAGCGTCCTCTTGGTGGCCGCAGTTGTGGTCGGACCAGCTGGAGCTGGGGCACTGGCTGAGGTGGCTCTCATGTCCTGAGCACTGGACGTTGTCCAGGAGGATGTCTCCAGAGCCCGGGCCGAAGTGGGCCCTTCCGGGAGCAGCAAGGGCCCGGCCGCACCCCAGCTGTCGGCACACGACCTCGGCGTCGCTCAGGTCCCACAGGTCATCGCACACGGTGCCCCAGGCGCCCTGGTGGAGGACCTCCACGCGTCCTGAGCACCGGCCCGAGCCGCCCGCCAGCCGCAGCTCCAGTCTGTCTTCTAAACGGAACAGGGTTTGCTTCTTGAGTTTGGAAGGTTTTACGTGGAAAGGCTTTGCAGACCCTACATTTGTGGCTAAAACAAATACATGCAAGAACAAAGCCTCGTGGGGCCCCGAGGTCCTCACAGGTGGGCTGCAGGGCTGAAGAGAGATGGAGGAGGGTTTGAACCTCAGCCCTCCTGCTTCCTGGACGTGACCTGGGGCCAGTTACTGCGCCTCCCAGCCTCGCTGTCACATCTGTAACATGGGGGCGCAGGCAGCATGCACCCTAGAGGGCTGTGCGGACTCGTCGACGAGAGCGGGGCTAGGAGGCGCCCAGCACACCGTGATTTCTGCAGATTCTGCCCTGCGGGTCCCTGGGTCACCGTGCAGGGTGACTGGGAAGTGGCTCCAAGCTGCGTGTCGGGATGTGTCTTGGTAAGTGCGTGAATCGATGTAGTTTTAGTTCCTGGGAGGCCCCAGGCCCCAGGGAGGCTCTGACTGCAGACAGCGGGGATGGCTATGCCTGTGGCTAGCTGGGGTCACCCGCCCTCTCCTTGAGACACCCCAGGGCCAACTTCCCTGACTGTGTGTAGGCTCTGCCACTCTGGCCTTTTCCCGTTTCTCTTTCCTCCCCAGCGCCTCCGCGCTCGGTTTTCTCTCTGTCTGGGTGCCTCTTCGCTGTCGCTCATCACGCATCACCCCCTCCGGGAAGCCCTGCGCCCCCACCCCACCCACAGGGGCACCTCCTCCAGCCCAGGCAGTCTGCACTCTCCTGCCTGGGTCTTCCCTCTCAGCCTTTGTTTCTCCCCGTCATCTTGTTCATTCGCTCGTGTCTTGGGGCTTGGCCCTCCCACACCCGCAGTGCTGTACACTCGAGGGGAGGGTGTGGCGCCGTGTGCTCTGTGTCTCCAGCACCGAACCCTGGGCCTGGCGCATGCGAGGGCCTCGGAAATATTGTTGGACGAGTAAACAATGACCGTGAGTCAGGGAATGGTCAGCGTACCCAATCCTGGAGGCAAGGTCTCGGACATGCTCGGAGGGTCTTCCTTACCAGGAGAAAACACATCCCTACCCCCACCCTACCTCCAACTGCAGCCGGGGACTTACTACTGAGCTTTCTGAAAAAGTCACGGGGGTTCCTGCCCCCCCCTCCGTGATGCCCCTGAGCACCAGGGACTCCACAGTGGGCTTGCTGGCTTGGCCCTGGAATGAAAGTCTGTAGAGCCATGGCTGGCAGACGCCACAGGCCTCTCTTTGGGGGAGTCTGGGGGTGCGGTGGGGCAGCTGGTGGAGAGAAATGGTTCTTCGGACAAGTTTAGCTTCCAGATTTCAGCACCCTGGACAGTCCCCATGCGGCGGGTGAGGGGGACACAGGCAAGCCCAGGGCTTCCCCTGCAGGGGCTGCAGCCCCCCATTCACACACACCATCGCCTATTCCAGCTGCCCGGGTGGGGGCGGGGGCGCTCCGGGAAACCTGCAGCTACAGGGAGCCGGTGGGAGGAAGGCTGAGGGCCTTTTGAAAATGCACCCCAGGCATCTGCTGGCGGGAAAGTCCCTCCCGTTAGAAAACCGTTCTGTCTCTAAGGACCACTTGACGCTTCCTACCCGACTCTCCTTGGTCCTGGGGAACCACACTGAACAGAGCGTAAAAGCCAGTGTTGCTGACTGTGGAGTCACTTCGGAAGACCACCGTCACGGTGTCCGAGGAGGAGAAAAACATCACGGGGACCGGAGCACAGAACTTCCCTACGGAGAGCGCGGCGATTCTGGGGCCATCGAAGATTTCGACTGAGTCGTAGGGGCACCCCAGGGCGTCTTCCAGGCTGGGGGGTCAAGCGGAGATCTGAAAGCTCAGACAGTATGACAAGCATAGGCTTGAATGTTCGGATTCTGCTTTAAATTGCACAGGAATATGTAAAATATAAATTAAGCTTTTCAGATGCCTTATTGTCAGAACTCTTACTCCCTTTGTCTGAGGATCAAGTGAGACTTACAGTTACAACTTAGTAACAGAAATGTTAAAATGATCATTTTAACCAATCACAGCTGACAGGGAAGATCGGAAGCGCTAGTGAACATTGCAAATAAATTCTTGGCAGTCAAATGATCGGCCTGTGCGCGACATCACAGCCAGATTTCCCGACCTCTGTATCTCACAACGCTTTTCCTGCCCAAATTCTTGGGGAGAAAGAACATGATTTTAAAATAATGTCAGCAGCTCAGCCGGTGTGGCTCCGTGCTTGAGCGTCCACCCTGCACCAGGAGGTCGCCAGTTCGATTCCCGGTCAGGGCACACACCCAGGTTGTGGGCCCGATCTCCACTGGGGGGCAGGAGGCGGCCAGTTGATGTTCTCTCTCATCGATGTTTCTCTCTCTCTCCTTCTCCCTTTCTAAAAATCATAAAAATAAATGTCAGTATACGGGGTGGGCAAAGTAGGTGTACAGCTGTGAGTACATGAAGCAGAGTTTATTCTTGTGCTCCTGTTTATTACTTGAAGTATTACTTGCCACAGGGACAGCTATAAGCCTACGTTTCCCACCCCCGCAGAGAAGAGTGTCTGCCCTGAGGCCATCCTTTCGGAGGGGGCGTGTGAGGGGCAACTTTGAGGGGAGAGACAGCAGATACCGACAGACCCTGGAGGTCTATCTTTGTCCCGGGTTTGTCTGACTCCACAGACTGGCAACAATCCACGCGTGCTGACAGCAGTCACGCCAGCGTTTCCCGTGGGCAGCGCCGTGTGTGTCGTGTGCGGGAAGGAGAGCCTCGTCCACCCTCTGCTTACAGAAGGGAAGAGCGGGGCTCCGACCTCAGACAGGCCCGAGGGTTCGCCGCGGGCGCCTTCGGGAACCTCAGCTCCGCTCCCCCATCGCCAATGGGGACAACAGGGACATCGATCTTAGGGCTGAGTGATGCTGGAATATGACAAAGATGACCAGTGCACAGTCCAGAGCCTGACGCACAGTTGACACTAAAAGGATGTCAGCTCTTATTGTACGTCGTGGGGATGAGGACGGCAGTGACTTCGGAAACTCATTCTCTCCACGTTGGAAAGAGGCCATGTACCCACTGTCTCCTTAGACTTTGTGGCAACGTTTAGAAGATGCAGGGCCCGTGGATGCAGTGTGGATGCATGTGTGTGTGGACAGCCTCTTACTGTGGGTTTAAAATCTAAATGAAGGGCCCTGGCCGGTTTGGCTCAGTGGTTAGAGTGTCGGCCTGCAGTCCAGAGAGACCCGGGTTCGGTTCCCGCTAAGGGCACGTACCTCGGTTGCAGTTTGTCCCCGGCCCTGGTTGGTCGAGCGGGTGGCAGCCACTCGATGTGTCTCTTTCACATCAATGTTTCTCTCTCTCTCTCTCTTCCTCTCCCTCCCTCCCACTCTCTCTGTACAAAAAATGGAAAAATGTCCTCGAGTGAGGATAAAACATAAAAATAAAAAAAAAGTTTAAAATCTAAATGAAGGAAGAAGAAAGTGCAAGAGGTTAAATATTGGTGCCCAGTGTACAACAAGGCAAAGCTGCTGAGAAGGATTTTTGCGGTATTTTTGGAAATAAAACATAAAAAAAAAAAAACACATAGAAAAATGACCAAAATAAGGTTCTGACAAATAGGATAATAAATTATAGAATTTTTCAAACTAGAAGGAGCTCGTTGGCAGCACTACAAAGTTGGCCCACGCTTCTGCTACAACGCATTGTGTGCCTTTCTGGTTCTATCCCTAAGGGTTTCCCACCAAAGGAGATACCTTCTAAGATTTCACAGACCGATATTCTTATGGCGATAGACCCGTTTCCTAAACAGTCGTTTTCTTACTTCAGACTGGGAATCGTGAGCCTTATGCGGAACGTTCTGCCCACGCGGATCTCCCACACGCACTGGGTGTCTGCGGGGTAGTGGTCCGGGTACCATGGACTGGAGAGTGAGCCGGAGAGGCTGGAGATGACACCTCCACAGGAGGCTCCTCCTCCTGGAACAGCAGAGGAGACCGTCAGGGCGTCCACACGCGTCACCTGGGTGCTCTCGGTAGGGACCAGCTCCCCCTCCCCGTCCCGTGCCGGGTGCAGTTTGGCAGCCTGCCGCCCCCCTCGGGCACACACAAGGCTCCGGGCAGCTCTTTAACCTGAATGGCTCCTGGGAAGGAGAGTCCTTCCGTCTAATTCTGATGAGTCAGAAAGTGTGACTGTGCGAGCGTCCGGCCTTCCCCGCCCCCGCCACCCTGTGACACAGAGGACGTTCCATTTGTCCAGTGTGTGCGCTGTGTCGCCCTCTGTCTGAAGGGGGCACCTTGCTGGGAGCGGGCAGGGTGAGCTACAGAGACCGGGAAGCAGAGACGGAGACACGGGCCTCGCGTGCCTGGGCGAGCGTTCTGGGCAACAAGAGACTCGAGAACAATTTTGGGGTCTGTTGACCTGGGGACACAGGGGAGACTGGAGCTGCTGGGGACTGTTTGAAAGCTTGGGATGGGGACCTCCTTCCAGGTACTTCCTCATCACTTTCCCTGGGCAGACTGTCTTCTTTAACTCCGTATCTGCTGAGACTGGAACCCACAGGGTTTTGGCTTCATAAGGGTTAAACGAGATAACGGTGAGATCTAATCCTATGTCCGTTGCCTATTCATATAGGTAGACACGTACACACACACACACACACGTGTCTTTAAAGCAGCCAGCCCACAAAACGGCAGAAAACTTGGAATCATCAAACTATTTTAGAGAAAATTTGAACACACAGTGAGTGCGCTTTATTGACCTGTCCCTAAATTATTGTCACTCAATTGTCTTCTTTCTGGTCCCCACTGACCCACTTGTAATCGTCCCCGTCGATAGCTCTGTGGTTGATCGCATTTGTGGGTTATAACAACTGGGACCGGGTCGGACTGACATTGAAATCCCTGGGCTGTGCACTTCCCGAAACCTCTACACGGCAGGGGTGATGGACTGGTGCCCGTTGTGAATGCCCAGTGCAGGGCTCTGCCCCGAGGAGGCAGCCTGAGTGTGGCCAGGGGACTGAGCCACACTGTCTCCAAGCCTCTCATCACCCTCATGCCTGCTCAGACCTGGGCACATGCACATGCCCCCTTCACAGTCTGCTCCTTCAGTTAAAAAAGTCAGTATCATCAGGCATTAGATGGCTTGATGCCACGTCGGATGCCAGGCTGTGGTGAGGACGCAGGGGCTCCTCCAGCGGAGGTCCTGACTGCCCTGGCCACTGTGCCAGTCTCTCTGTGCCACGTCCCGGGCACACTGCCCGCATCCAGGGTGATGCCAGCATCTCGTAGGATGATTCTCTTAGCATGGAGTGACCACGTCAGTTTACAACAAGCAGTTACCTGTTAGGTGATCCTGAGAAGCTGTAGAAAGACCTAAAAGGAAAAAAGGCGTCAGATAACAATGATAACGCGATGGCACCTTTCACTCAACACGGTCTTCGTTCCCTGCCATCCGCGGCATTTTAAGCTCGGCTGAGTTACGTGAAATGAGAAAACTGCAGATGGGCGTTCACTCGAAGGGCCGCTGTCCTTGACCCTAACCATGGCTCTTTAACTTTAGACAGCCCTGCCCCCTCGCTCATGACCCCAACACACAGAGCTGGCCGTGCCCAGAACACCAAGGCCTCCTCCAGGCGAGTGCCCGAGAGAGATGCTTCTGCCGATGACTTGGGGTCTGTGTGGTCGCTGAGGCTCTGGGACAGCCAGGTGCATTCAAAGAGCAGGAGAGAGGGCTTGAGAAGTCCACTCTGCCGCTGTCAATCGAGTGCTCCTGGGCGGGCTTCTGGACCGCCCCCTCCTCAGCTGTGAAGATGAACTGAACTCATTTATGCGGAAACCCTGGCAGGCTGCCGGCTGCTGCAGGTGCTACAATGAAACGAAACGCCCTTTGCCCGCTGCTGCAGGTGCTACAATGAAACGAAACGCCCTTTGCCCGCTGCTGCAGGTGCTACAATGAAACGAAACGCCCTTTGCCCGCTGCTGCAGGTGCTACAATGAAACGAAACGCCCTTTGCCCGCTGCTGCAGGTGCTACAATGAAACAAAACGCCCTTTGCCCGCTGCTGCAGGTGCTACAATGAAACGAAACGCCCTTTGCCCGCTGCTGCAGATGCTACAATGAAACAAAACGCCTTTTCATATACCTTCAGCATTGTTTCAGGATTTACACCACCAGTGTTGGTCTGGTTTTCCTAACCTTTGGTTGTTGTTGCAGATGAATGCCATTTAATCATTATGAGATTTTTGAAAACAGGTACACGTCATAAGGTCCCAAGAGCGTGTGCTAAGATCGATCAGTGTTAAAAGTTGGTTCTACCGTTAACTTGCTGAGTCATCTCAGGAAAGTGACTTAAAACCTTTCTGTGTCTCAAATTTTTTCTTCTGTAAAATGTAATATCAAATACGTTTTTGCAGGCGTGTCCTGAGGATTACAGTAATCTGAGCACGATGTCCCCATTTCTGCTCTAGCTTTGCCTGGTCTTTGTGTAGTTGGGGCCAGTGGACTGTGTGGGAATAAGACTGGCGCCCAGGTGCACCAACCCCTGGGTTCAAATCCATTGGCTAGTCCTGGGTGCCTTACTACCTTTCTTGTCTTGACTTACCTATCTGGAAAATGGGAATAAGTACTTACCTCAAGGGTTACTGTGGGGATTAAATGAGTTATAAATACAAAGAGCTCAGAACAGGGCTGGATTCTCAACATTTATACGTGTTTGATATTATTATCATTAGTATCACTATAAAGTCGTTTGCGCTAGGAAAACATATGGACCTACCTGGAGGTGTGGGAGGAGGCAGCTCTTCGGCATCTGGGGGCATAAAGAGGGGCAATGGGTCACTCTCTTTAGTGGATCCAAAGTGTGGGGGGAAATGGGGTGAGGGGCATGGGTGGGGCATGAAGGGAAAGGACTGTGGTCTTGTGGGTATGAGACCAGAGCACCAGAGCTGCCTCCGGGCCATTGCAGCCCTCCCCTGGCAGGTCCTCGGACCCGAGGGGCAGGGCATAGCAGCTGGGTTGCTTCCGGGGATCAGGGCTGGATTGCCTGTGGCCCTGCTAAGGCTGAATCACCTGGCGTACTTGCTACAATGCAGATTCCAGGGCCCCCTTTCTTTCTTTCTTTCTTTCTTTCTTTCTTTCTTTCTTTCTTTCTTGTTAATCCTTACCCAAAGATATATTTCCATTGATTTTTAGATAGAGTGAAAGGGAGGAAGGGGGGAGAGAGAGAGAGAGAGAGAGAGAGAGAGAGAGACATGAATGTAAGAGAAACACATTGATTGGTTGCCTCCTGCACGACCCGAGCCAGGGTCGGGGATCAAACTTGCAACACAGGTACATGCCTTGACCAGAAATTGAACCCAAGTCCCTTGGGTCCGTGGGCCGATGCACTATCCACTAAGCCAAACCAGCCAGGACTCCAAAGTCCCTTTCCAAACTGAGTTAGTCATCCCTCTGGGGGGAGGGCCCTGGACCCTGCTCTGCAATGCTCTGGGCGGGGGTTGTGGGGTGTGCACACAAACGCTGAGGACCTCCCGTGTGCAGTCGGGGGCTGCCCACGGTGGGCGTGTATCTGAGCCCAGGGCTGGCGTGGAAGCTCTGTTTGATGAAAGAATGAGCATGTGGACGGATGACGGATGGATGGACGGACGGATGGATGGATGGAAACACCACCTGGGATGCATGGTTTCAAAGTACATAACATCTGAAATGACTGCCTGAGCAGGGAGAGGCTACCTGAGCAGGTGACACCGGCGTCCTCGTGGTGGCCGCAGTTGTGCTCTGCCCAGCCGGCGTGGCCACACTGGCCCAGGTGGCGCTCCACCCCAGCGCACTGGAGGTCGTCCAGGAGGATGGCCCCAGAGCCCGGGCCGAAGTGGGCCCTTCCGGGAGCAGCAAGGGCCTGGCCGCACCCCAGCTGTCGGCACACGACCTCGGCGTCGCTCAGGTCCCACAGGTCATCGCACACGGTGCCCCAGGCGCCCTGGTGGAGGACCTCCACGCGTCCTGAGCACCGGCCCGAGCCGCCCGCCAGCCGCAGCTCTGGCCAGTCCCCTGCAGACAGAGATGGCGCGAGTCCCCAGAAGGCCCCCCTGGTGCCCGCCAGCAGGACCACGGGTGGGGGAGGAGCAGGCGGCCTGTGGGCCTGGGGGTGTCCCTCACTGCTCCTGTGTTCCCGTGTCGTGGGTGTCTTCGGCCAGTTTCATTCATGTCAATGGTTCTGATTGATTATCCTTCACGTTAGACATGGATCATACTGCTGTAAACCCAAGAGCGTGGTTCCTGCCCCCGGGAAGCCTGCAGTCTACTCATCAGTCAGCCGTGGACACGGGTCCGCGCACTGTGCCACATCGTGGTAAGCGCAATGAAGGGAAGGGACGGGGGCTCCGAAGAGACCCATGGGGGGCAGGGGGCATGGGCTGGGAAGACCCTCTCCAATCGGCGAGAAGAGGCTGGTCAGGGAGGGGGCTGGGGAAAGGCCTTCGAGCCAGAGGGACAAACATCTACAGAAGTCCGGACACCCCAGTTCATTCCTGCAAATCCCTCACACACACGGCCCCGTCACGCATGAAAAATCCAAAGCAAGAACTCTAAATGAGACTTTCAAATGACACCTGGATGGTGAGAAAACCCCTGAGGTTTAGACAGAGGCTGAGCTCTCGGCTGGGAGGAGAAATAGACCCAGGACAAATCAAGACAGTTGCCATTAAATCCCTCCAAAACCTCCAAAAGGGTGACCTACCTGGACCGCTGGTCAGCGACTCTTCAGCATCTGTTTACATAGAGAATCACTGTGTCAGTATTTTCAGAAATCCTGACTTTTCCTAACTGAAGACAAAGATTTTAATCACATCCTTCTAAGTGTTTATTAATTGGACACAGGAAGAGTTAGTGCCTTTAAGTAATACCATCCCAGGCCCTGGCTGGTTTGGCTTAGCGGTTAGAGTGTCGGCCAGCGGACCAATGAGTCGCGGGTTCAATTCCGGCCAAGGGCCCGTACCTCGGTTACGGTTCGTTCCTGGCCCTGTTGTGGTCGTGCGGGAGGCAGCCACTCTATGCATCCCTTTCACGTCGATGTCTCTCTCTCTCTCTCTCTCTCTCTCTCTCTCTCTTTCCCTCCCTCCCACTCTGTCTGAACAAAAATGGAAAAAAAGTCCTCGGGTGAGGATAAAAAAGTAATAATAACACCGTCCCGGGAGGCCCAGCTCCCCCGTGGACCGAGAGCGCGCTGTCCCGACGGGAAGGGCGCAGCAGGGACGATATGACGGAAAGTAGCAGATGAGTTTCACTGTGGACAGTCTTCGGGGTACCTCAGATTCAGACAGTCACCCTCCAGAGCAGGGGGACGTGGGAATACACGTGGCCCATGAGGGTGTAACTGAGTTAGACGTGTCACACGTGACAAGACCCCACAAAGCAAAAGGACGGGTGCGCGAATGCAAAGCAAACAAGACGGTGCTGATAACATGTGCCTCCAGGTAGAAGTCGTGGGCAGCAGGTCCCACGGACCACAGAGCCGCTTCTCACGTGGCAACTCTGCCACAGGCCGCTCGAGTTGTCACGGCTTCTCCCCAGTCACACCAGGCGTTCCGGCTGCTGGCTGACGAACAGCCATCTCGTGGTCAGAGAGGGTTATCAGTAGACACTTCAGATGACTGGGTTAGTCCTAGCTAGTTATTTATGCCTGAGTCCAAAGTATTTTTTAAAATGGTCACAAGGCGTCTGGCCGGTGTGGCTCAGTGGTTGAGCATCAACCCTGCACCAAGAGGTCGCCGGTTCGATTCCTGGTCAGGGCACATCCCCAGTGGGGGGCGTGCAGGAGGCACCAATCCATGTTCTCTCTCATCGATGTTTCTATCTCTCTCTCCCTCTCCCTTCCTCTCGCTCTAAAATCAATAAAGAAAAAAATATTATTTTAAATTAAAATTTAAAAAATGGTCGCAAGGCCATTAAAAGGAGCCGTTTTAGTTCCCTGGGTCCGTGGCGCTGTGATTGGCAGAACCGACAGTGAACACCGCCCGGCGCTGGGAGCGTCCGCCTGAGGGAGTTCGGACCCTTCAGCAGTCGTGCAGGAGAGCAGTCAGCTCCCTGGTTCTGCGGAGGGAGAATCGGAGTCTGAATGTGGCTGGATGCCCCGCGCGTGTTAGCAGCAGCCCTGAGGTCCAGCCCCAAAGTACCCCCAACTGACTCCGCCGGCCGCCCCTTTGAATGGAGGCCTGTGGATGGCGCCTCGATGAGAGAGAACATAGTGTCCCACAGCGAGACACCTTTGCGCACGTCTGTATTCAGCAAAGCACACACACCCGTGGGCATTCGTACTCCCTCATTAGAAAGTTTCGGGGTTTTAGTCCGAAAGGCAGATGCTTGAACTCTTATATGTTCCACCAACTTGGAAGAGATAAAACGAAATGCCCCACGTAGGGGGTCCTGTCTCGTCCCTGGATGGCTCTGAGCTCTGGCAGGGTGGTCTGCAAGCACAGTGCGCGACTGCCTGAGCGGGGAGAGGCTACCTGAGCAGGTGACACCGGCGTCCTCGTGGTGGCCGCAGTTGTGCTCTGCCCAGCCGGCGTGGCCACACTGGCCCAGGTGGCGCTCCACCCCAGCGCACTGGAGGTCGTCCAGGAGGATGGCCCCAGAGCCCGGGCCGAAGTGGGCCTTCCCAGGGGCGGACACGGCCCAGCCGCACCCCAGCTGTCGGCACACGACCTCGGCTTCGCTCAGGTCCCACAGGTCATCGCACACGGTGCCCCAGGCGCCCTGGTGGAGGACCTCCACGCGTCCTGAGCACCGGCCCGAGCCTCCCGCCAGCCGCAGCTCTGGCCAGTCCCCTGCAGACAGAGACCTGGCAGTCACTGCCATCTGGGGACACTGCCCCCTGAGCTGGATGAGCCACCAGCTCTGCACTCCCGTCAGCGGTGGGAAACGTGGGGGAAAGTCAGTAACTTGTCAACCTCCTGGCTGGAGCTCTGGTCAGTCAACAGGATCATCACAATATCATTTAGCCTAAAATGTCCAGGAACTGAGCAGCTCTTGGGCCAGAGAGATGCGCCACTCTGCTCTGGCAGAAGAACATTACGGAAAGTGGGCACAGTGATTTGCGGTTGTGTGAGGTGCTCGGCTTTTCGGGAGCCCAGGCGAGCGCCGGTACCCCACTGGGGAGACGGGGAGTGGAGAAGCCGGGTGCCTCACCCCGTCTCACACCTGGTGAGGAGCAGGTCTAAACTCAGGCCTCCCGATCCCCCCGCTCACTGTCTCCCTCTGCCCTGAGCCTCGGCCTCCCGAAACCGTCTGTCAGTCACGCGGCTGTGAGGCTGACGACTGGCCACGTAGAGAAAGGTCGGCGTCCCCTCGAAGGACCGGTTACTGTCAGTGGGGAGACCTGGAATGGCTCTGAGAAATGAGCTTGGCCCCCTTTGGGAAGAGCCGACGGGCCCATTGGCAAATAGATGACCCCATGAAGCAGGGACGAGACAGGCCACCGGGTCACGAGGATGCATTTCTGGGCTCACCTGGTCTTGCTGTCACCACCTTGGGTGCTGCTGTCAGGGTTGCTGTGGAGACAAGAAAACCTTCTCAAGTAAAAGGAGAACCTGGGGACACAGCAGCTCCTGTTGGCTCTCGGCTCAGCGCAGAGCTGACCCATCCCCCGCCACCTGCACGGGAGGTAGCCTCTAAGCCAGCCTTCCTCTCCAGGTGGGTCTGCCTGTCCCTCAAGTGCGTGGGGTCCAACAGAAATACTCTTCCCTTCTCCGCCCGTCACTGGAAATGTGACAGGTAAACGGTGCCTTTCTGCGCTAAGATGTCGCCACCACCCGCCCCTCTGGGGAAGCAGCCGTGTCTCCGGAAGCTCCTGCTTCCTCTGCTGGGCAGGGCCTGGGTGTGCTCATGGTTTACTGGGGACCACACCGACAGCGATCGGTACGCAGTGACCAGGTGTGGCACGTGGCACGTGGTTCCACCGTGAAGGAGCGTCGTGCTGTGCGGGTGTGGACAGTCCCTCAGCCGTGGAAGGGAGGTCCGTGCAGGAGGGGGGCAGAGGGACACGAACTGGGAATGAAGATGAAGTAGCAACAGTCAACGTGACTCACTGGTCGGAGGCGGGGTCTGGGACGCCGGCCCTGCCAACACAAAGGAACCGCGGTCAATATCGTCTAATGCCACCCTGGCCCGGCAGCTCCATCGGTTAGAGCGTCGTCCCTTACGCCAAGGTCGTGGGTTGGATCCCCGGTCACGGCACAGACAAGAAGCAACCAGTGAAATGTATCAGTAAGTGGAACAACAAATCGATCTCTCTCGCTCTCTTAAAAAAAATCAACCAATCAGTCGATGACTGTTTAACATCCATCACGGCGGCTCCCCTGAACCACTTTGCGCCTTAGGGCTTCCCCGCTGTTCTGTAGCACGTTCCCACACCTGCTCAACGAGTCACCCGGTGCTTGCTAAAGGGAGACTCTTCCGAACAGCCTGGCTCTCGGCCAAGGTGGGTGCTGGGAGAACCACCCACGATCTCAGCCGTGGTAGACGGGGCAGACCCGCCACCGAGGGACCGAGGGATAATTACTGAACCTCTCCAGCTCAGTTTTCTCATCTGGGCAAGGGGACGAACCCTGGGTTTGCTGGAGGATTAAAGAAGGTACCACGTGCCAAATGCTTACAGTGTTGCCTGATGGGAACAGGCACTCAGTAAACATCACAGCTCCTTCATCATGGCTCTGGTCACTGCCTGCCCCCGAGGACACTGCACGTCCCAAGCCCTCGGCGTCCTCCTGCCGCCTTCCCGCCACAGCCTGCGCGTGCTCCCAGCTGCGCCCGCCTCCCATTTCTCCACTCACAGCCCAGCCCGGTTCAAAGACAAATCCCGGGCTGTTTCCATTTCCCTCCACACTCTTCTGGAGGCCACGCCAGTCTCTTTCCCTCTCCGACGTCTTTGCTGAGAGGCACACATTCACCACGCCCTGTCTGTCCTCCGACGGCATCCCCCGTGTCTGTCTTGAACTCCTGCGTGTGCACGAGCCCCTCTCGGGCCGGGACCACACCACCTCCCAGAGGTCCTAGCACACCGGCCTATTCAGGCTGACTTCCCACTGAGCTGACGGTACCGAGATGCTTGTGCGAAGCCATAGAGCTCGTGAGGCAGCTGCCAATTACTGGGCATGTATGATGGCCCGTGACGAGTTCTGTCACGTCAGGTAACCCCACGGCAGACTTAGAGGGTTCGCTTTTCGCCCTGCCCTCCAGGGACGGGACTGAGGCACAGAGAAGTCAAGTCTCTTGCCCTCGGTCCCGGAGCAGCGGTGGGACTGGAACGGGTCCCCGGCAGACGGGCCAGCTCCGGCGCTTGGTCTTCACCACCACTCTTACCTTGGGCTGCAGAGTAATAATAAGCGATGAAGGCTTTCCCGATGTGGTTGAGGCTTCGGAAGTACTTGATGGTCATCGAGCAGGAGGAGGATGCGTAGGTGAGGTAGTAGCCAGAGCAGGTCTTCCCCAGGGACTTTGCTGAGGCTGGAGGGCCGTCCAGGATCTCAAAGTATTCGTGGGTGCAGTTCAGGCTGTGGGAGGAGACAGCGTGGGTGCCTCTCAGCCTCCTGACCGGAGGACCGGACCGAGAGGTGTGCCTGAGGCAGACCCTTCGTGTCCTGTCATTACATAAAGAGGCTCGGGCCCGAGGAAAAGCTTGTCAGTCATTCACATGAAGGGTGGATTATTTTATCTCCCTGTTTCTAGGGAGGACTGGCACAGGAAAGGGGAGGCTGAATCTCGCGCGCCCCTGCTGAGACCCGACCGCAGGCCCCGCAGCCCAGGGCCCAGGCCGGGCCACGTGAGCCACGGTCAGTGATGTGGGCAGAAGGGGGCAGAGACGCTGCGTCGGCCAGTGCGGGACATGGCCCCAGGTTCCAGTCGAGCCGGTTACAAGCTCCTGCCGGCCGACCTGCCTGGAGGGAGGGCCCACACCGCCCCGCCGCCGGAGGAAGCCACCCGTTTGGCCACCGGCTGTCCTCCGCTGCCAGGTTTTGTCCAGACGCCACCAGGGCGTTCATCAAACCACGTCCACGCCCCCACCCCTGAGCCCTTGTTCCAAGTTGCATTTTGATAAGCAACTTCCAAGAGTAATAAGTAACGTGAGTTGTCCCTGGGGGGTAATTTCCATAAGACTTTTCTCTATGAGGACATCAACCTTGACTACAACACCAACATCTAAAATTTTCTGATTTATTAGGTCCAGGGGTCCCTGGAGTCTGCACCTGTGACCAGCAGGCTGAAATACACACAGACTGTGAATTCATCCCCATCTGTCTCACACACACACACTTACACACACACTCACACACTGTGTCTTTGTCTCCATCTGTCTCACACACACTCACACACACCCATACACTGTGTCTTTGTCTCCATCTCTCACACACACACACACACACACACTCACACACTATGTCTTTGTCTCCATCTCTCACACACACACACACACACACACACACTCACACACTGTGTCTTTGTCTCCATCTGTCACACACACACTCACACACACACTCATACACTGTGTCTTTGTCTCCATCTGTCACACACACACTCACACACTGTGTCTTTGTCTCCATCTGTCACACACACACTCACACACACACTCACACACTGTGTCTTTGTCTCCATCTCTCACACACACACTCACACACACTCATACACTGTGTCTTTGTCTCCATCTCTCACACCCATGCGCACACACATGCACACACACGCACACACACGCGCACACGCACATGCACACACGTGCACATGCGCATCCATGGGAACAAGGGTGGGCATGGAACAGGAGGTCTGTCGCCAAGTTCACAGCAGGCGCCATGTCAGGTCCGTGCTCTCAATGTTGCTCTACAGTTACACTGAGCTGCCACCGGGGGGCGCGAGGGGAAGGGCACAGGGGACCCATTATGGTTGTAACTTCCTGTATGTTTATAATTACTTCAAAATAAAACGGAAAAACATAAAGGACCGTTTTAGTTGTAAGAACCAGTCAAGAAACCATTGCCTGCAGTCTCAAAGCGCACTGTCCTGGGTCAGGGCCTCGGACTTACTTCAGATACGGAAACGCCAGCAGCACGTGCTCAGATGCGTGGGCCCTGATTTCCCACACGCAGGTCACGTTGTCCGGCAGCTCATCCTGCGGGGGGCTCCGGATGGCCCCGGAGGACTGAGTGATGACGCCCCCGCACAGAGGTGTCCCTGACGGCAGAAAGGTAGCAGGCTTTCCGGTTACTCACTCTTCAGTTCGCTCATTTTGTTATCACACTTTTTCCTTTTTTCCCCAAAGTTCAGGCGCTTTCACCACCCAGTCTCACCTGCAGCGATGGTCCCTGCCATGGCAGCCAGCGGGCGACCTGTCAACACACAGAGGGCATACGGAGGGTCAGCTGGCACTGAGGCCCACACCCATCTGCACATGCCCGAGGTCAGTCTCCGGTGAGGCCAGAGTGGGGGGTGCTGTTAGTGTGCAGGGGAGAAGCGGCGCTGGTCCAGAGGCTTCCCAGACATCGGCGCGCCATTCTCTGGTCGCACACACACATGATGTATACATGTGTGTACATGTATACATATACATGTATGTGTATGCGTACATGTATATGTATGTGTATATGTATACGCATATGTATATGTATACGTATGTGTATGTGTGTATGTATCCTCATCCTCACTGGAGGATTTTTTTTTTATTGCTATTTATTTTTTTATCCTCACCCGAGGACATTTTTCCATTTTTTGTTCAGATAAGAGTGGGAGGGAGAGAGAGGAACAGAGAGAGAGGAACAGAGAGAGAGAGAGAGAGAGAGAGAGAAACATCGACGTGAAAGGGACACATCGAGTGGTTGCCACCCACACGACCATCCAGGGCCAGGGACAAATTGCAACCGAGGTACGTGCCCTTAGCGGGAACCGAACCTGGGTCTCTCCGGACTGCAGGCCGACGCTCTAACCGCTGAGCCAAACCAGCCAAGGCTTTTTATTGCTTTTTAGAGAGAGAGAGAGAGAGGGAGGGAGAGAGAGAGAGACATCGATTGATTGCCTCCTGCATGCACCCCAACTGGGGCCAGGTAGCAACCCTGTAACCAGATAGGTGCCCTTGACCAGGAATTCAACCTGTGACCCCTCAGACCATGGGCTGATGCTCTAACCAGTCCAGGGCCAAATTGTATATGTACACGTTTTACTATTATTATTATTATCATTATCATCATTATTTTTAATCCTCACCCAAGGATATTTCTCCATTTATCTTTAGATAGAATTGGGGGGGCATTGATGTGAGAGGGACGCATCGACTGGTTGCCTCCCATTTGACCCTGACCAGGGCCAGGGACAAACCACAACCAAGGTATGTGCCCTTGAGCAGAACTGAACCCGAGACTCTTTGGTCCGCAGACCGGTGCTCTAACTGTTGAGCCAAACCGGCCAGGCCTCAATGAGATATTTTTAAATTAGGGGGTTTAAGAAAATGAAAGACACAAAATTCTGGCTCCTGCAGCCAGTTCCTGAGACCCGAGGGTCAGGAGTTAGAGGGCTTCGGGGTGAGACTGGCGAGAGGCGCCAGCTGTGTCCTTTGCCCTGCTGCCCAGGCAGGGAGTCGGGACCTCAGGGTGCGCTGGATCCTTCATGCCCATCCGTCCGACCGGGGACACTTGGCCCAGCACTTCCCACTGGAGACTGTCTCCCAGGCCGATCCGTTCCCACCTGTCCGAGCTGACAGCCGGGGGCGGCGTGACCGCAGCGCTACTAGACATGGAGCCCTCGGCTTTATTCAGGGCTCACTCTGACCCGGAGCTGGCTCCAGGCGGGGTGTCAGGGACCTGGGCTGATGAAGGAGAGACGGCACTTGGCACGAGACACTCTGCGTGTCATGTGGGAAAACCAACAGCAGAGGGCGCTCTTTGAGCCGGCTGCAGCAAGGAGAGGTGGGCACAGGATCCGGCCAGCTTGCCCTCAGCCACGTCTGGCCACCAGCCGTCTGCCCCTGGCAGAAAGTGTCCTTAACTGTCTCTCGTATCTTAACTGCCCCCACGGTCTCTCAGGCCATCCCCGGGCAGCCCTCAGGAGTGACGGACTGAGCCTGAGCAGGTCCGAGACATCCGGGCTGCTTCCCGTGGGCCGAACGCACAGCGCAGCGGAGGGCGTGGGAAGTGGTCTCACTGGGTCCGGCCGCCTCTCCCCTGCACAGCCCGGGCGTTCCTCAGCTCGGTCGCCCACCGCCGGAGAGCCAGAAACACGGCCGGCCCGGCAGACCTCTTCCCCGGGGCTCCGCTACCTGGTGGTCTGGCCGCCCAGCGCTCCGCATCGGTAAGTGTGAGAGAGGAAGACGCCGCCCTGAGCTTCTTTCCCACGTTATCGCGACACCGGCTTTTGAAAAGCACTGTCCTGGAAGAGCCGCCGCGGCCCTGCCTGGGCAGACCACGCCCGCGTCCTCCCCGCGTCCTCCCCGCGCCCGCAGTGGTGGGCCAGCCAGCCGCGGTGCAGCCACTGTTCCAGGTGCCCTCGTCCCCCGGCAGTGCCGGTCATCCGGCAGGACCTTCCCGGAGCCTCCCCAAAGCGGGCCTCAGCGGGGCTGAAATGGCCCAGCCGCGCCCCGGCTGCTTGCAGACGATGGTTGCTCCCGGCAGGTCCCAGAGATTGTCGCATGGCCCCCCTGGCCCCTGGAAGATTTCCACGTGGCCCACGCAGCTCCCAGGGCCGCCCACCAGCCTCACGGGGGCCCAGCCTCCGGGGAAGGGTAGGGTCGCAGGGGAGAGCGGAGCCCTCTGCCTGTTGGTGGCTGGCCTGTCGTCCACCCACCCGGCTTTCCCGCCTTCCCCTGCCTTTGCTGCGCACGCATCCCCACAGGTGTGTCCGGGGAGACTCCCAGGTGTGTCTGCCCCCAGAGGTCTCTGTTGCCCCGATCCACACCTGTGTGAGGACAGCTGGCCCGTGCTCGGTCATCTGCACACACGGCCCCGGCTTCCCCCCGTACAGCCTACTCCCCACAATACGGCATCGCAGCCCCTCTCAGCAGCCGGGCTCCCCTCCTACGCCTTGATGGGGGCAGGGGCCCGTGACTCGCGCTGGTCGGCGGCGTGGAGCAGAAATGATGGTGCGCCCAGCGGGGCGAGGCCTCAGGAGCTGCGACACCGTGGGCTTCACGGGACAATCGTGTGACTGCGCTTGAGCTGGTGGGCTGGGTGTCGGCAGCCACATGACCTTGTTGCCCGTCACCCAGACAACAGTTATGGAGAGGTGAGACACGTGAGGGAGGCCGTCGAAGGCCAGGCCGTCCGCAGCTGACCTGCCAGCTGACCCCAGTGCATGAAGGGGCCCAGCAAGATCAGCCAAGACCAGCCGAGCCTCCCCAGACCCGCAGGACTGCCCGGCTGACCCGTCAGCTCACGACCCACAGGACTGCCCGGCTGACCCGTCAGCTCACGACCCGCAGGACTGCCCGGCTGACCCGTCTGCTCACGACCCGCAGGACTGCCCGGCTGACCCGTCTGCTCACGACCCGCAGGACTGCCCGGCTGACCCGTCTGCTCACGACCCGCAGGACTGCCCGGCTGACCCGTCTGCTCACGACCCTCAGGACTGCCCGGCTGACCCGTCAGCTCACGACCCGCAGGACTGCCCGGCTGACCCGTCAGCTCACGACCCGCAGGACTGCCCGGCTGACCCGTCTGCTCACGACCCGCAGGACTGCCCGGCTGACCCGTCAGCTCACGACCCACAGGACTGCCCGGCTGACCCGTCAGCTCACGACCCGCAGGACTGCCCGGCTGACCCGTCAGCTCACGACCCGCAGGACGCCCAGCTGACCCGTCAGCTCACAACCCTCAGGACTGCCCGGCTGACCCGTCAGCTCATGACCCACAGGACGCCCGGCTGACCCGTCAGCTCACGACCCTCAGGACTGCCCGGCTGACCCGTCAGCTCACGAGCACTTACCAGTCGTGGTTGTTCTAAGCCACTGTTTTGGGTGGTTTTACGTGGCCTCACTCATACAGGTCTTTGTTGCCCAGTCCCCCTTCTTAGACAACCGGTCCTACCCAAAGCCAGGACAGGGGCCAATGCCATGTGTCTGTGCCTGCGTCTGCCTAGTCATCTCGAGTGTACGTCTGACTTCAGAGGAACCAAACCCTGTGCTGAGTTGGGCCAAAGTCTCTGCTGGCGACTGGGAGTTGGAAGAGCCCGGGCTGGCCACGTGGGCTCAGGGTGAGCTGTTTCCCCAGGTGCAGCCACCATGAGTCGTGCGTGAGTGGGTCAGTGGACAGACAGCCGCTCAGGGGAAGAGGGAGGCAGGACAGCTAGGGCGCAAGACCACTCCCCAGCTCGAAACGCCCTTCTGCTTTGCTCCCCGTGTCTTCCTGAGGTCTGGGGGCAGGAGGAGCTTTCTGCACAGACCATCTTCTCCCCACGTCACGGTGCTCTGTGCACAGGACTGTCTCCCTGCTGAACCACGGACTCCCGAGAGGTGGGCCGCGGCCGGGCCCCTGTGTACCCCCACACCCCAGTCCGTGCTCAGCACACGGCAAACATGCAGGGTGAACAAGTGGTTCAGTCCTGGCCGGTTTGGCTCAGCAGTTAGAACGTTGGCCCACGGAACAAAGAGTTGCGGGTTCGATTCTGATCAAGGGCACGCACCTCGGTTGTGGTTTGGTCCCTGACCCTGGTCGGGTCATGAGGGAGGCAACTAATGGATGCGTCTCTCTCACATCGATGTTTCTCTCTCTCTCCCTTCCTCTCTCTCTAAAAAACAACCCAAAAAACCAAAAACCCAACTCAAGGCTCAACATCCTGAAGTGTCCCTCATTCCTGATCACAGCAAAGCCCCCTGAAGAGTCAGCTCACTCTTGGCTGGCCCTGTGTGGTGATTGGCCAGCCCCATGCTCGGAATCAGAAATCATGTTCAGCCCTGGCCGGTTTGGCTCAGTGGTTAGAGCGTCGGCCTGCAGTCTGGAGAGACCCGGGTTCGGTTCCCGCTAAGGGCATGTACCTCGGCTGCAGTTTGTCCCCGGCCCTGGTTGGTCGTGCGGGTGGCAGCCACTCGATGTGTCCCTTTCACATCAATGTTTCTCTCTCTCTCTGTTCCTCTCTCTCTCCCTCCCACTCTACCTGAACAGAAAATGGAAAAATGCCCTCGGGTGAGGATAAAAAAAAAAGAAATCATGTTCATGTCACCCACCTGCAGCCCACAGGGAGCCCCGCTACCTGGCTCCTCCCCGCCTGGCCCCTCACCCTTCAGTTCTGGGCTTTGGTACTGTTTCCTCCCGCCCTGACCCTCCGATCGGGATGGAGACCCCCTTCTGGGCACCCATGGCGGCCTGAGCTCCTCATCATGTATCCACCCCCCTGCTGGAACACCCCCTCCAGTGGACGGAGCCACGTGGGGTCTGTTTTGTTCATCACTATACTTGTCCCCAACGACCCTCTGTAGGGGGGGCAACAGGTGTTCACATGGACGATGATACAGCAACGAACCAATGCTGGTGATACCAGGGTAACCCCGTTTCCCGTACTCGCACTGTAACCCTACCTTGCCCACCTGAGTACCTGCACGTGTTCATCGCTCACTCGTTGTCCGATGAGCAAAGCCGATCGGAAGGCACAGCACACACAGCAGCGGCCTTACCTGGAGGGGCAGAAGGCGGGCGCTGAGCCTCTGGCGGTGCCGATGGCGTGGGCAGTGAGCTCTCATGGGCTGCTGATGGGAAAAGAGGAAGGGGGTCATCAGGGGACAGGCAGAACCCCGCCTCCTCCTGGGGCTCCGGGGGTCATGCCGACACTGCTTTCCAAGGACAGTGACCCCCCCTCCCCACTCAGGGCAGACGGGGCACCACGGCCTGTTGACAGAGGGACACGCATCCCGGGGCCGCTTGCAAAAGCTGAGCTCGGAGGCGGTGAGCCCAGCGGACTGCTGTGCAGGAGCCATTGGTTGGCTGCCCTCTCTGTCTTCACTGCCTTCTCCCCGGGGGAGTGGTGACGTCACCTGAACAAAGCGACAGTCGCCCCGCAGTTTCTCAGACCACAGGCCAACGCTCTAACCACTGAGCCAAACCAGCCAGGGCAATTGTTGTTGTTTTTTATCCTCACCCAAGGACATTTTTTCCATTTTTTGTTCAGATAGAGCGGGAGGGAGAGAGAGGAAGAGAGAGAGAAACATCGATGTGAAAGGGACACATCGAGTGGCTGCCACCCGCACGACCAACCAGGGCCGGGGACAAACTGCAACCGAGGTACGTGCCCTTAGCGGAAACCGAACCCGGGTCTCTCGGGACCGCAGGCCGACGCTCTAACCGCTGAGCCAAACCAGCCAGGGCATGGCTCTGTATCTTGACTGTGGTTACACAATTACCCACATTCACCAAACCGGACCTTAAAATGGGTGAATTTAATGGCAAACAAATTGCACCTTAATCTAAAAATAAGATGAGGTGCTGGGTGAACAGAGCAACGATCGATGGATCGATACATTCATCACAGAGGCTGGGCAGGGTTTCATCGTTAAGTTCCTCAAACGCTGCTGTATATGTTCATAATAAAATGTCGGAGGGGAGAGTGTCCCCCAATTTCTACTACGAGACCTTCGCCTCTGTTTTACGACGAAAGCCCCTCACTTTGCCCGTGGCACAGCGAGCTCATTTGGCCCACGTGGCTGCATACTCTCCCCTTGTTGTCACAGAAGGTCAGAGGCATAGAGTTCTAGGGGCATGGGGTCCAATGTGCCTGTTCAATGACATGAGACGGAGGCCGAGGTCATCCAGGTGGAGAGAGAAGAGCCCGGATCAGATTCCTACAGCTCGGGATCCCTTCCACCCCCCCGCCCCCCACTGCCTCCCTTAGGTGGGGATGGGACCCAAGGATGCGGCTGCATCTGCCAGGGATCTTGGCATCGTCCAATTCATGTTCTTGCCCCGGCCGGTTTGGCTCAGCCCACCGACCGACGGGTCACAGGTTTGATTGTTGGTCAAGGGCACGGACCAGACTTGCAGGTTCAGTCCCCAGCCCTGGACAGGGTTGGGGAGGAGGCAGCTGCTCGATCTGTCTCGCTCACATCGATGTTTCTCTCTCTCTCTCTCCTCTTCCCTCCCTTCTACTCTATCTAAAAATTAATGGAAAAATATCCTCAGGTGCGGATAAACAAACAAAAGAAAATCATCTTCTTATTCAATTCTCTATGTTATTCCTACGTTGACGCAGAGGAATCGAGGCGAAATGGGATGGAGAGACAATGTCACGTGGCTGGGGTCACACAGCTGAGGGTGAGCATGTGGTACGTGCGTCTCTCCCGTCAGGGTGCGGGCCCACGAGGGGTCGGGCAGGGGTTTGATCGCCGCCGGCCCCAATGCTTGTCGGCCTGCGGAGAGCACCGCTGAGCGAGCGGGTGAAGCTGGGAATCAAACTGGATCTGACCCTAAGCCTCGCGATCTCGCTGTCATGCTGAGCGTAGCAGATGACGCCCCACGCGACGTCCTACCTGTGGGCAGAGCCGCTGTGGAATCCGCACCTGTCGGTGTGGAGAGATGGGCATGTTATCACATCGCGGCCGGTGGGTATTGCCGCGAGCGCCCCTCATTCAGGGAGTTGTGGGACGAAGGACAAGGGCAGAGCCTGCCTTTGAGGGTCTGTCCCTTCCTGGGGTGGGGACCTGAGACCAGGCAGCAGGTGTGCGTGTCCCGGGAGAGCTTCCGCAGTCGGTGCTACCCCGGGGCCTCGGGTGCTGAGGAGGGCGGCCGGGGGGCTTGTCATTCAGAGACGTTATTCCAGCTGCTAGCGGGGTAGGATCGGGACAGCCTGGGACAGTCAATCAGAGGGACACACGGGTCTGGGAAGGTCACCAGGCCCGGCCTGGGAGGCCTGGGTCCCCAGCTGCCTGCGTGGTGCCCCCCCCCCCCCGTGCATGCACTGCCCTGGGCGGCTCTGCTGCCCACGCTCTGCACGTCGTGGGCCCCTGTGGCACTGCCACGGCCTAGCCCGGCTGCAGCTGGCGCCATGCGGCGGTGGCCTCGGCCAGGTCCCAGAGGTCACCACACGGTTGCCCATGAGCCTTCGGGCTCCTGGGGAGGCATGAGGAGGAGACACATGGGAGACGGGCCTGTCTGTGTCTGAGAGGCTTCCCTCCTCCTTGGCGTCCCCACGGGATCACACCCACACTGGGAACACGCGGGCTCCCACGGTGCCCGTGCACACGTGTGCTGACCAGCCGAATGGGCTTCGATTCAACCCCCTTCGGTGAGACCTACATCCCTGCTCCAAAGTAGGAGCTCTCTTGAAGAAACCCCAGGGTTCCTAAGTTCTGCACCAGACGCTCTGTCCACGTCAGCCCCTCCGCGGACAGGGACAGACACGAGACGTCCATACACCGATGAAACGAGCAGCGGGACTTCCGCGGGCGGGCCGTGGCCCAGCAGAGCCCGTGCCTCCCAGGCCCCCCTGTCTCGGCGCCTCGGTCTGTGGCCCAGAGGTCGTTTCCAGGGCTTCGCTGTGGACAGGGCACTGAGGGCAGGAACTGCACTCGCTGTTGGTGCGTCCAGTGCCGTCGCGTACACGTATCTTCACCTTCACAGCACCTCACGTGGCAGGAGGTGGACTCCCACGTCACAGGTGCAGACACCAAGACTCGGAAAGGTGGCGAGGACTGCTCTGAACCCCACAGCCCGTCGGGGAGCTGCGTCCCACCCCCACTCCGCCTGTGGGCCCCACTCGGAAGGTGCCTCCCCCGCGCCGCCCACCAGCCTCATGTCTCAGGGACTGCTTCGCATACCTGCGGGGGGAGGCGTCCAGGCCTCGGGGGCGGTGGTCGGTGAGGGTCCCGAGAAGCCGTCCTCTGGAAGGTACAACAGAGCGAGGTCACGGCCGGTCAGCAGGGTACAGGGAACAAAGTGGACATTGCTGGAGGCGCGTTATCAGACCCTCGGAAGCTCCCTGTTCTCTCTGGGTTCATCTAAGCAGGTCACCATCAGCATCCTCAAATGAGACTGTTTAACTTTTTACTCATCTATATTATGTTCATGGTAAACATACCCTTGAATCCTTGGCTTGGGAGAAATAAATCTTTAAAAAATAGGAGACAAGCTTAAGAACATCATATTTAAGGAAACCTAAAAAAAATGCAGTGTCTACAGACTGATACTGCTGTATGCGTTCGGTAAATATGTATTGGCCCAGCTGGCTCCTTAAAAAATAAAACTCCCGCCCAGCCGATGTGGCTCAGTGGGTGGGGCATCGTCCCAGGGACTGGGAGGTCCCTGTTCGATTCCCGGTCAGGGCACAGGCCGAGGTTGCGGGCTCGATCCCCAGTAGGGGGCGTGCAGGAGGCAGCCGATCGATGCTTCTCCCTCACATTGATGTTTCTATCTCTCTTGCCCTTCATTTCTCCCTAAAAACAAATCAAGGGAAACATATAAAAGTAATAGTGTGAAATATAAGGAAGTTCTAAGGGGCTTGGTGAACTTCCAGCCGAAAGACGCACTTGCTCAGCTCCGGGGTCTCATTCTCACTCTGCCACTTGAACATCGGCTTCCTGACCAACACGGGTCTGATGGGCAGGAAAGAGGTCTATAAGTTCAGAAGTGAATAAATTTAAAAATTGTCTTACTCTCCCCAATTTGATAAATGCTTTGTTATTTGGGGAGGGGGGTGGAATTAACTCACTGGTCACAAAAATAAAAACTGAGAAAAAAAGTTTAAAATACCGTTAACAATAGCATCAGAACCATACAATTCTATGGATAAGTTCAACAAATACATGCAAACTTTGCACACAAAAAGATGCAGACTATTGATAAGTTAGAGACCTAAATAAATAGATGGATGGCAATACTGTGTTGATGGATCAAAAAACTCATTATTGTTAAAATGTCAATTTTCCTTAAAAAAAAAATATACAATCTAAATTAAAATTCCCAGCAGACATTTTTTGTAGCAATTGACAAGTTGATTCTAAAATGTTATATGGCTGGCAAAAAACCTAGCTTAGCCAACACAATTCTGAAAAAGAATAAAAAAGAACAAAGTTTGAGTGTTTATATACCTGATTTCAAGATTCACTCTCAAGACACAGTAATCAAGACAGTGATGTGACCATGAGAATAGCCACATAAATCAGCGGACAAAGGAGGGGGTTTAGAAATAGACACGTGCATTTATGGTTATTTAATTTTTAACAAAGTACCAAAGTATTTCAGTAGAGATATGAGCATTTTTTTAAAAATGGCATTGAGATGATTAGATAGCTATATAGAAAAAATGTCATTAGGTTTACACCTTAAATCATATTAAATGAGTCAATTAGCCCTGGCCGGTTTGGCTCAGCACTTAGAGCCTCGGCCTGTGGTCCAGAGAGACCCAGGTTCTGTTCTCGCTAAGGGCACGTACCTCGGTTGCAGTTTGTCCCCAGCCCTGGTTGGGTCGTGCGGGTGGCAGCCACTCTATGTGTCCCTTTCACGTCGATGTTTCTCTCTCTCCCTCCCACTCTATCTGAACAAAAAATGGAAAAATGTCCTCGGGGGAGGATAAAAAAAAATATGGGTCATAGAGTTCAATGAAAAATTTAAAACTTCTAGAAAAAAATCTGAGAGACTTTTAGTTAAATAAGTTTTCTTAGTTAAAACACAAAAGCACAATTCATTAAAGGAAAAGAACATGGTCAATTCAACCTCATTAAAATTTTAAAGATTCTACTTTTTAAAAAAGCACTGTTAAGAAAATGAAAAGACAGCTCATTGACGGAGTGAAAACAATGTGCAAAACACATACCTGAGAAAATACTCATATCCTGAATAAATAGAGAACTGTCTTATCTCACAGTAATAAAAGACAGCTCAGTTTTTATAAAAGGATAAAACATTTGAACACACACTTCGCCTAAACAAAGGTGCAGATGAGCCTGTGAAAATATGCTCCATCTCATTAGTCATTAGAGAAAGACAAATGAAACTGCACGGAGGCATCACTATCTCATTATAGTAGAGAGACTAATGGCTGGACAACAAATAGAAAATCTGAAAATGCGGGTGAGGATGTAGAGCAACTGTAACTCTCATCCTATCCTGGAAAAGGCAAACCGATGGGGACAGAAATCGTATCGGGGGTTGCCATGATCTGGGGGGTCAGGAGAGGGGATTGACTATAACGGGAACAAAGAACATTTTAAGGTAATGGAAATGTTCTATATCGTGATGTTGGTGATGGTTACACAACTGTAATTTACCAAATTATTTGAAGTACATGCTGATTTTTACTAGAGGTAAATTATATTTCAATTAAGCCTGACTTTAAAAAAAAAAAAAAGGTAACTCTGAGTGCATGCAAACAATGGAATAGAATATTGGGAACCTGTAGGCAGGGAAGCCAGGTAGGAGGGACCTGTGGTCATCCAGGCAGGAGGAAGTGATGAGTATTTGGATGATGGTGGTCAGATGAAAAGAAGTCCTCTTAGCTATAAATGGAAAATTAATTCATCCACAGAGACCTGTCTGTTTGCATAATACCAGATGTTGGGAGATAGCTTAATAATTTACTTAAATACTCTTGTTTGAATGCTTAGCTCTTTCTATACATACCATAAAAACACATAAAGTAAAAATAGCCAAGGAAGTGATTCACAAATACAAAATTTAACTTACTAAGTAGACTGGTTTCTGCTGATAATGGTACTGCTGCTGATGACAGTGTTGATATTAATGATTTCAGTAATGATGATGATGATGACAGTGGTGGTGATGATGACATTGGTGATGATGATGACAGTGGTGATGATGATGGTGACAGAGGTGATGATAATGATGACAGAGGTGATGCTGGTGACAGTGGTGATGATGGTGATGATGCTGATGACAGTGGTGATGCTAGTGACAGTGGTGGTGATGCTGGTGACAGTGGTGGTGATGATGCTGATGACAGTGGTGATGATGGTGAGAGTGGTGATGATGGTGAGGGTGGTAGTGATGCTGGTGACATTGGTGGTGATGTTGCTGATGACAGTGGTGATGCTGATGACAGTGGTGATGATTCTGATGACATTGGTGATAATGCTGATGACAGTGGTGATGCTGGAGACACTGGGGATGATGGTGATGATGCTGATGACAGTGGTGATGCTGGTGACAGTGGTGGTGATGATGACATTGGTGATGATGATGACAGTGGTGATGATGATGGTGACAGAGGTGATGATAGAGATGCTGCTGCTGACAGTGGTGATGCTGGTGACAGTGGTGGTGATGCTGGTGACAGTGGTGGTGATGATACTGATGACAGTGGCAGTGATGACGGTAATGATGGTGGTGATGTTGACAGTGGTGATGCTGCTGACAGTGGTGATGGTGATGACAGTGGTGATGCTGGTGACAGTGGTGGTGATGCTGGTGACAGTGGTGGTGATGCTGCTGATGACAGTGGTGATGATGATGGTGATGATGGTGGTGATGATGCTGATGATAGTGGCGATGATGGTGAGAGTGGTGGTGATGCTGGTGACATTGGTGGTGATGTTGCTGATGACAGTGGTGATGCTGATGACAGTGGTGATGATTCAGATGACATTGGTGATAATGCTGATGACAGTGGTGATGCTGGAGACACTGGGGCTGATGGTGATGATGCTGATGACAGTGGTGATGCTGGAGACAGTGGTAGTGATGCTGGTGACAGTGGTGGTGATGACAGTAATGATGGTGGTGATGTTGACAGTGGTGATGATGCTGACAGTGGTGATGCTGGTGATGCTGGTGATGACAGTGGTGATGCTGATGCTGATGACAGTGGCAGTGATGCTGACAGTGGTGATGATGTTGACAATGGTGATGCTGATGAAAGTAGTGATGCGGATGACAGTGGTGATGCGGATGACAGTGGTGATGCTGATGACAGTGGTGATGCTGGTGACAGTGGTGATGATGATGACATTGGTGATGAGGATGACAGTGGTAATGATACTGGTGAGAGTGGAGAGGATGCTGACAGTGGGGATGATGAGGATGACAGTGGTGATGATGCTGGTGACAGTGGTGATGATGCTGGTGACAGTGGTGATGATGAGGATGACAGTGGTGATGATGCTGGTGACAGTGGTGATGATGCTGCTGACAGTGGTGATGATGCTGGTGACAGTGGTGATGATGATGCTGACAGTGGTGATGATGCTGGTGACAGTGGTGATGATACTGACAGTGGTGATGATGCTGGTGACAGCGGTGATGATGATGCTGACAGTGGTGATGATGCTGGTGACAGTGGTGATGATACTGACAGTGGTGATAATGCTGGTAACAGTGGTGATGATGCTGGTGACTGTGGTGATGACGATGCTGACAGTGGTGATGATGATGGTGTCACTGGTGATGATGCTGACAGTGGTGATGATGATGCTGACAGTGGTGATGATGATGATGACAGTGGTGATGATGAGGATGACAGCGGTGAAGATGCTGGTGACAGTGGTGATGATGCTGACAGTGGTGATGATGATGGTGTCACTGGTGATGATGCTGACAGTGGTGATGATGATGCTGACAGTGGTGATGATGCTGGTGTCACTGGTGATGCTGCTGCTGACAGTGGTGATGATGCTGGTGACAGTGGTGATGATGCTGACAGTGGTGATGCTGCTGCTGACAGTGGTGATGATGATGGTAACAGCGGTGATGATGAGAATGACAGTGGTGATGATGCTGACAGTGGTGATGCTGCTGCTGACAGTGGTGATGATGATGGTGACAGTGGTGATGATGAGGATGACAGTGGTGATGATGATGCTGACAGTGGTGATGCTGCTGCTGACAATTGTGATGATGATGGTGACAGTGGTGATGCTGCTGCTGACAGTGGTGATGATGATGATGACAGTGGTGATGATGCTGACAGTGGTGATGATGAGGATGACAGCGGTGATGATACTGGTGACAATGGTGATGATGCTGACAGTGGTGATGCTGCTGCTGACAGTGGTGATGATGATGGTAACAGTGGTGATGATGATGGTGACAGTGGTGATGATGATGCTGACAGTGGTGATGATGATGGTGTCACTGGTGATGATGCTGACAGTGGTGATGATGATGGTGACAGCGGTGATGATGATGCTGACAGTGGTGATGATGCTGGTGACAGTGGTGATGATGCTGACAGTGGTGATGCTACTGCTGACAGTGGTGATGATGATGGTGACAGTGGTGATGATGCTGGTGACAGTGGTGATGATGCTGACAGTGGTGATGATGCTGCTGACAGTGGTGATGATGCTGGTGACAGTGGTGATGATGATGGTGACAGCGGTGATGCTGCTGCTGACAGTGGTGATGATGCTGGTGACAGTGGTGATGATGCTGCTGACAGTGGTGATGATGCTGACAGTGGTGATGATGCTGCTGACAGTGGTGATGATGCTGGTGACAGTGGTGATGATGATGGTGACAGTGGTGATGATGCTGACAGTGGTGATGATGATGCTGACAGTGGTGATGATGATGATGACAGTGGTGATGATGCTGGTGTCACTGGTGATGATGCTGCTGACAGTGGTGATGATGATACTGACAGTGGTGATGATGATGGTGTCACTGGTGATGATGCTGGTGACAGTGGTGATGATGCTGACAGTGGTGATGATGATGCTGACAGTGGTGATGATGCTGCTGACAGTGGTGATGATGCTGACAGTGGTGATGATGATGGTGTCACTGGTGATGATGCTGACAGTGGTGATGATGCTGGTGACAGTGGTGATGATGATGGTGTCACTGGTGATGATGCTGACAGTGGTGATGATGATGCTGACAGTGGTGATGATGCTGGTGTCACTGGTGATGATGCTGCTGACAGTGGTGATGATGCTGACAGTGGTGATGATGATGCTGACAGTGGTGATGATGCTGGTGTCACTGGTGATGATGCTGACAGTGGTGATGATGATGCTGACAGTGGTGATGATGCTGGTGACAGTGGTGATGATGATGGTGTCACTGGTGATGATGCTGACAGTGGTGATGATGATGCTGACAGTGGTGATGATGCTGGTGTCACTGGTGATGATGCTGCTGACAGTGGTGATGATGCTGCTGACAGTGGTGATGCTGCTGCTGACAGTGGTGATGTTGATGGTGTCACTGGTGATGATGCTGCTGACAGTGGTGATGATGATGCTGACAGTGGTGATGATGCTGGTGTCACTGGTGATGATGCTGCTGACAGTGGTGATGATGATGCTGACAGTGGTGATGATGCTGGTGTCACTGGTGATGATGCTGACAGTGGTGATGATGATGCTGACAGTGGTGATGATGCTGGTGTCACTGGTGATGATGCTGGTGACAGTGGTGATGATGCTGACAGTGGTGATGATGATGCTGACAGTGGTGATGATGATGGTGACAGTGGTGATGCTGCTGCTGACAGTGGTGATGATGATGGTGACAGTGGTGATGATGAGGATGACAGCGGTGATGATGCTGGTGACAGTGGTGATGCTGCTGCTGACAGTGGTGATGATGATGGTGACAGTGGTGATGATGATGCTGACAGTGGTGATGATGATGCTGACAGTGGTGATGATGCTGCTGACAGTGGTGATGATGCTGCTGACAGTGGTGATGATGATGCTGACAGTGGTGATGATGCTGGTGTCACTGGTGATGATGCTGGTGACAGTGGTGATGATGCTGACAGCGGTGATGATGCTGGTGACAGTGGTGATGCTGCTGCTGACAGTGGTGATGATGATGGTGACAGTGGTGATGATGATGGTGTCACTGGTGATGATGCTGCTGACAGTGGTGATGATGCTGCTGACAGTGGTGATGATGATGGTGACAGTGGTGATGATGAGGATGACAATGGTGATGATGCTGACAGTGGTGATGCTGACAGTGGTGATGATGCAGATGACAGTGGTGATGATGCTGGTGACAGTGGTGATGATGCTGACAGTGGTGATGATGCAGATGACAGTGGTGATGATGTTAGTGACAGTGGTGATGATGACAGTGGAGATGATGCTGATGTCAGTGATGATGCTGATGCAGTTGATGACCATGATGACGACGACAATGCTGACAATGGCAAAGATGGTGATGATGAAGAAGATGATGATGACGATGAGGATGTTGTTGATGATAAAGTTGATGATAATTCTGCTTCTGCTTTTGAGGACAAAAAAAGATTTCTCATTTGTTTTAAGACAGTAATTCTGAAAGTGTGGTCCCCTACCACATGTAAGCATGCTGGACCTACTGGAAATGCAAGTTCTTACAACCCACTCTAGGCCCAGCAGTGTTTTTAATAAATATTCAGGGTAATACTGGTGAGAAGTAAAGTTAAAAAACCACAGCTTTAGGATAAAAAAATAAAGAAAGGATTGAAAGAGCCCCATGGTTTTTTCTAGCAGCAAAGTTACTCCAATATCATATAACTATAATTTTTCAACTGATCTTATTTCATTTCCTGTTAAAAAGAATTAGGGCCCACAGACCAGACAGATGCTGATTGCTCTGAAAAGAAAATGGCCATTTGCTCTCGATAAGTGAGTTGTGATCACTCATGGGCATAGTCATGGAAAACTAAAGTCAATGACTGTTAATTATAGTCCTTCAATTGCCCCCGAAAAGTCCTGTCTTGCCCAGCCATTTGGTTCTGATGTGGGAAAGTTCCTGCATCTGGGTATTGTGTACCGCTAGCTAATTTCTAAACCCTCTTTTGCTGATGTAACTCTTCTGTGTTGAGCTCTCCCCCATGCCACACCCTAAACGGTGCCTGGGATCTACCCTCGGGCAGCTGCCCGGAAGAGAGGCCGTTCAGGCCAGGACTAGCAGGTGAGACCGAGTGCAGGAGACCAAGGTCAACACCACAGATCTGAGTCCTGAGCTCCGTCGGTGATGGTGGGTTGACATCTAGCCTGGGAAAGCCTTTTAGGTTGCAAGTGAAATCAAACCAGCCTCCGTGAACTTCCTAAAGCTTGATTTAGCAGGGTCCTTTGCTTTCCATTTCTACCGCACAGGATAAATATCAGCCAGACAGGACTGAAGTAAGTAGGAGGGAACACAGAAATAGCCCACATCAGTCTTACCTGGAGGGGAGTGGTCCGCCGCTAGAGAACCTGTGGGTGCGGAGAGAGGAGACCGGCAACCCTCACGGGAGGAGGCCCGGCTCAGCTACCATTGTCTGTGACAGTCTACTCTGTTGCAAGTCACCTGAAGGCAAAGACTCCTCACCTGAGCAGATGACGGCGGCATCCTCCTTGTGGCCACAGCTGTGAGTGAACCAGGTGTCGTGGGCACACAGGGCCAGGTGGCTCTCCTCACCGCTGCAGTGCACGTTGTCCAGGAGGATCTTCCCAAAGCCAGGGCCAAAGTGGATGCCCGGGGGGGCAGACACCGCCTGGCCACATCCCAGCTGCCTGCACACGACCTGAGCCTCCTTCAGCCCCCAGCCGTCACCGCACACAGACCCCCAGGTGCCCTGGTAGAAAACCTCCACCCGTCCAGAGCACCTCCCGGGACCGCTGACGAGCCTCATCGTGGGCTGGTTGTCTGCGGAAATGAAAAGAAAAGCCCGTTTTTTTAAACTTACCTGTTATACGCATCCTCGTTGCCTAGCTCACAAATCAGGGGGAGTTTTGTTATTTCTCCACATTTAAAAGTGAGTTCTAGCCAAACACGGCTTAACAATTCCACCGCCGTGTGATGTGCCGGGCAGAACAGGTACTTCTCAAGCGTCGGCAAGTTGGAACCTGGTGTCCGCGGGGCACCCATAAAACAGTAAGGAAACGTACTGCCGCCAGTGGGCAAATGCGCAAGTCAAGTTGCGTCTTCAAAAATGTAACACTACAGCCATTACAAGCAGTAACATTGATCTATCTAGATATCTTGTATATAGCAACACGGATGACTCTCAACAACGTTAACATTGAGCAAAGAATAAAAGGGACCAAATTGATCCCCTGGGACTGCCATCATGGTGTGAATGTAAGACACAAAATCACATGCATGGAGATCTCAGAGTTCACATTTGTAAAAATGTTAGAAATGAGCTATAAAGATGCACACAGTTCAAGGGGTACTTGTCTCTCAGGCAGACGGAGAACAGGGATTGGGGGATCTGGGGAACTTCAAAGGCACCTATAACATTTCATTTCTTCATAAGCCTGGAAGACCAATATAAGAAAATGTGGGCACCGTCACTGCAGGTAAAAGTTATTTGCTTTCTTATTCTCTGTGTTGTCTGGACTTAAAATGGTCCTGCGGGAGAGCCGGAAGGTGGGGTGTTCAGATGTCGGCCGTGTGGGAGAAGGTGGGGCAGGTCCCGGGGGCTGTGTCCGCTCGCTATGGTCCCTGTGCAGGTCCCAGCTCCTCCCCTGGCTGCAGTGCCCCCCTGGGGTTCACAGCACAGTGGCACGTCCCGTGAGGAGGTGACTGACCTGAGGGGCTGAGCCAAGGAACATCAGCTGCACGACTCGAAGGCGGCGAGTCAGCCACAGGTAGCACTAGAATGACACGGAAACGGTGGGTAGGACAGAAACGTCTCCTTCCTGCGCAGACGAAGTCTCCCCAGAGAAGGACTCGGCCAGCAGCTGGCGAGAGCCGCCAGCAACACCACGCCGGACCGGAACATCTGGCCTGGCCACGTGCTCAGAGAGGACGAGCCGCTGTCTAATGAGATCGCAGTCAAGTTCAGGGGGCAGATGAAACGCCTAAAGGTCATCCGGCTGCCCCCCAATGCCTCGCCCCTTTTAATCTACCAGAACCCCAGGTTCTGCACGGGGTGCTCAGCAGTAGTAAAATAAGCCATTGAGGAACTGGGCAAAAGTTTTAAAAACCCTTGTATTCTAAGAATGCTTGTTATCGCGGATGACCCCACCCACGGAGGACACTGTGTGACGGAGGGACACGCTCCACCTGTCTGTACCTCCCAGCCGGTAAAGCGTGGATCTGTAGGGCCAGTGGCAGAAGTGTTGCTCTACCTGATAAGACAGCTGGTAACTTTTCTTTCTCTGCTGAGGCTGAAAAAGAAATACATTCATCAGAGGGACTGGTTTCGTTACTTTGCTTGCAGGTGCAAAGCTACTACTTCCTTCTGAGCAGGGAGGTCAGGAAAAGGGGGGATGCGGTGTCTCTCAGAGTGAGGCCCGTGTCCCCGAGCGGAGGGACTCGCCCCCACTGTGCACTGGGCACTGTCTAGTTGGACTGCTCTCCTCCAAGACTGAAGTGGCCCAGGAGGGGTGGAGCTGCCCGTCCACATACACACCGCCTCCACATCTGTGCACTGATTCAGGAAACTTTGATTGGGTGCCCAGGCTGCACCAAGTCCCGTGATGGGTGCCCGAGGTGCAGTGGTGAGCAAGGCACATGTACCAGGAGGTCGCCAGTTCAATTCCCGGTCAGGACACATGCCCAGGTTGTGGGCCTGATCCCCAGTGGGAGGTGTGCAGGAGTGACCAATCGATGTTCTCTCTCATCGATGCTTCTCTCTCTCTCTCCCTCTCCCTTCCTCTCTCTCTAAAATCAACAAAGAAAAAATATTTTTTAGAAAAAGTAAAAAGAAATGGGTAAAACTAATTTAAATCATACATTTCATCCAATCCAGTATATCCAAAATATTATAATCATTTCAGCACATAATCAACATAATGAAAGTTAAGGAGACCAAGTGCACATTGGTCTTTGGAAGATCCGGAGTGTATCTGACGCACCACCAGGTGGCGCCATATCGGGAGCTCGGCAGCCACACAGACTGTGCGGGTTAAAGGACTCGTTAAAACCGCCCTCAGGATGGTGCGAGTGTGAATTAAATGACGATGTGATTGAGAAGTCAGCAGTTACAGGTGATGGAACAGTGGGGGCAGCACCGACCAGCACCACGATGGAATGAAAGGCCCCTCACGGTGGCCGCTGCTCACCAGGGCCGGGGAGGGTAATGAAGTCTTCCCAGGGGGACACTTCCCGGGTACTGGGCCAGGGCTCCAGTGTATTTCTCAGACTCGCAGGACAAGCAGTGACCTTACAGGGTCCCCTCACCCTAACACACACACAGACGACACAGCCCCTCCCCCTTCCTCTTTGTACTTGTGAGAACGAGTGAAATGAGGAGCCTTAAGCTATGATGCTCTTTGATAGTAAAATTACAGACCATATCCCACGTAAAGTGCAGCCGGGCGGCCTGAGTGCAGACGGCTCAGGGTCCGCCTGTCCCTGTCTCCTCATCACGCGCTCAGGTGGGGGTCAGCTCTCCGGCGGCGGCCGGACCACTGGCGACCGTGACGGTACCGTGGAGGAGCTGGGGTAACAGGGATGGGGGTCCTACCTGGGGAGGTTGGCCGTGCCGCGGTCACAGCGGGGAGCTGGGACGAGATGGCAGCAGGTAGGACTGGAATGAAGACGCACTTGTTAACATCGTGCTCCCGCTGAGCGGGGAGGGGCGAGGCCAGCCAGGGCTCCCCGTGATCTCACAAGATGCAGCTTTGCCTTGACTTGGAAGTGACCTCTTCGCCCCTGACCGCGGTCCGGCTCAGCTCCGCCCTCCCCGCCTCCTCTGCCCCCAGACTCCATGTCCGAGGGCGGGTGCTCAGTGTTTTGTGGTAAGAATTATGTGTTTGGGGTCTCAACGTTCCCCCTGTGTTGATGGGTGGTCTGAACCAGGACCCCCAGTGCTTTGATCCACATGTTCTGCTTATTTCGTTCCTTGGCTTTTTTTTTTTTTTAAATCCTCACTTAAAGATAGTTTTCCATTTATCTTCAGATAGAGTGGGAGGGAGGGAGGGAGAGAAACATGGATATGAGACACATCGACTGGCTGCCTCCCGCATGACCCCGACCAGGGCCAGGACTAAACCGCAACTGAGGTACGTGCCCTTGAGCGGAATCGAACCCAAGATTCTCTGGTCCGCAGGTCGACGTTCTAACCACTGAGCCAAACTGGCCGGGGCCCTCGGCCTGTTCTACTGCTGGTGTGTCTTCTCTAGGTCATTGGTCTCGCCCCAGCATGGACCCCGCCACAGTCCACAGGGTCCTGCGTTCTCTCCCATCTGAGACCAGACTCCACGCAGCATCCAGCCGCGGGCGCGACTCGCAGTATCCGTAAGGAACACGGCAGGGAGACCACCGTGGGCAGGGAGACCCAGCCCTCTCCCACGCCCGCCTTCTCTCTGCTTGCGGTTCCGGCACACAGCTCACCGAGCGCCCGAGTGGTGTGGCTGCTTCAGCACCGCTGAGCTAGCAGCTACAGAACGCCTCTGACAGACAGCCCGGCAGGCAGAACACGGGCCCCCAGAGACGCTCACGTCCAAAGCCCCATCACCCTGCATCCCGATTTTGGCTGAAATTTTCTAAATGGTCCTCTCCCCCCTCTCTCTCCCTCTGATACACATCACCGACTCTCGTCCCAGAAGCTAGAACAGGCTGGTAAATCGTAAATCAGACCATTTCCTGCTACTCAAAACCTTCCAGAGACTTTCTGTTGTATTTGGAATAATATCCAAGCCTGTGCCATCATCTCTAAGACACCTCACACGCCCCAGTCCTTGTCTCTGTTTCTGACCACGGAGACCACACCGCCTCTCGCTCCCTGCTCCCCACTGGCTGTTTCCACCCCTTGACATTGACCAGGGAGCCCCTGCCTCAGAACCCCGCACATCTCTTCCCTCTGCCCAGAACCTCCTCTCCTAGACCTTCCCCCGGCTCACTGCGGGTAATCAGCCTCAGCTCCAATGCCGTCCCTTCAGAGAGGACTGCCTGTGCCAACACACACGCCCGCGTCCTGCCCTAGCGCGTGTTCATCTCACCGCGCACACCGTCTGAGACGGTCTCCACGTCTCCACTTGGCTCATCTGTGCTTCCTGTGTCCTCCCCAGCCCCTCTTCCCAGACCAGGAGTTCTGTGACAGCAAGAACTTTCGCAAGTTTCTATCAGAGCCGAGGACGGGGCCTGGTTCGTAATAGATTCTCAGCATGTGCTTACGGAAGGGGAAAATAGGCACAGGCTAGCACGCTGCCCCTCCCAGACCTGCAGACATGTTTGGTTACCGGCCCAGGGGACTAAGGCTGCAGCTGGAGGTGAGGGTGCAGTGGGTCCGGAGGCCGGAGAAGAGTCAGAGCCCCCGGAGCGAGCAGAGCTCTGGGGGACCCCTCGCTTCAGCCCAGTGGACTCAGCCTGGCCGTGTGAACTGCAGAACTGCAAGCTAATCGTTGGCCTGGCTTAAACCCCTGCGTTGGTGGCCCTTTGTTACAAAAGTGCAGACATAAGCAAATATCACACGTGCTCAAATGATGTTTCCTCCAAAGAAAATTCAAAACACATTGTTTGTAAAAGTTGAAAGAGTTTGAAGAGCTGCTGGCCAAAATGATGCTTAAAGACAAAGAAACCACTGCAGTCCAAGGGGTTTTCAGATTGATTCAAACCAGCCATCCTGTTCCCTTGGCGTTTAGAGACTCCGTCGGGGGTAATACCCTGAACATGAGCCCAGACAAACTCGGCTGTAAGAGGCAGGTTACGAGTCACTGAGGAAAATAACTCAGCCGCAACTCTTACCTACTTCTTCTCTGTGTCTGGGTGGGCAATTAGAGCTATCCCAGGGACAATGGCAAAAAGTGTTCTCTTACCCAATAACATGGTTGCCGAGTCGCTGTCATCTGTGGGTACGAGAAACACAGACATGTTGTTATTTCATTAGGTTGAATATCTTTGACCTTAAACACTTATCGATCTTGAACAAATCGTCGATGTGATGTCAGAAATGAAAGGTGAGCAGCAGTGACCCAATGCCTTGGGCATGACAGGCGCTCGGAAGTATTTGCTGATTTGATGGCTTGCAAGAGCTTTTAGAGGTCATGGCTTCAGAATGCCCGCCCCCGAGACCAAGCCAGGGCCCCCAGAGCGCAGACCACGTGCCTGTCCGGGGCAGCGGCTCCCAACGGGGACCAGCACAGGAGGACATGGCATGTTCCCATCTGAGCTCCTAGTGCAGGCCTCTCTCAGGACCCAGAGGATCATACAGCTCCTCCTGGGCCCTTGATAAATATTCCTGTTAATCTGTGTTATATATATGTTTATAATAGATATATAGATATAGATATAGATATAGATATAGATATAGATATAGATATAGATATAGATATAGATATATACCTGGCTTGGCTTTTATGGAGAGCTGGTATTTAAAATGGATATATATATATATCCATGAATGCTACAGATTTCAGATGACTGACAGTGTGTGTATATATACATACACACACACACACACATATATACACACACATATATATACACACATATATATGTATATATATACTTTGCATAGAAAGACCAGAAAAAATATGAAACATATGATTAATGATCATATGGATGAAAGAGAAGTAAGTGGGAAAACAACCCATCAGCCAAACCCAGCTGATTGTCGAACTGAGCACCCAGCTCCGCCCTCAGCCTCCTGGGCCGTGAAGGGGATGAAGACCGTGCCGCAGAACGGGGTTCCGTGCTCCAGGAGCGGTGTCTCCTGAAAGGAAGCCAGCCTTCGCATGGGGGCCACCGGGCGCTTTGTGTGTGTGTTGGAGGGGAAGAGAGAGGTAAAGACCATTTAGAGAGTTCAGCCAAAATCAGGGCGCCAGGTGAGGGGCTGTGGACGCGAGCTGCACCCCTGGAGCAGGAGATGCTTGTCAGCTCAGCACGCATTTTTTTTTTAATCCTCATCCGAGAACATTTTTCCATATTTTGTTCAGATAGAGTGGGAGGGACAGAGAGAGAGAGAGAGAGAAACATCGATGTGAAAGGGACACATCAAGTGGCTGTGCGGGAGGCAGCCAACCAGGGCCGGGGACAAACTGCAACCGAGGTACGTGCCCTTAGCGGAAACCGAACCTGGGTCTCTCTGGACCACAGACTGACGCTCTAACCACTGAGAAACTGGCCACTACTCAGCATGCATTTTTTTTTTTTTTAAATAGAGTGGGAGGGAGAAAGAGGAAGAGAGAGAGAGAAACATCAGTGTGAAAGGGACACATCGAGTGGCTGCCTCCCGCACGACCAACCAGGGCTGGGGACAAACTGCAACCGAGGCACGCACCCCTAGTGGGAACTGAACCCGGGTCTCTCTGGACTGCAGGCCGACGCTCTAACCGTCCAGGGCTCAGCATGCATTTTGAAAGGGGAGCCAGAGAAGTTTCTAGAGCTTGTCTGTGTGGAGTGAGGGCGAGGGAGGGGCAGGGAGGCTCTGAGGATTCTGGGTTGAGAAATAGCTAAATGGGAAGAATACGCCCATCTTAAACACCAGCTCTCCATAAAAGCCAAGCCAGGTACCCTAACGTCTAACAGATGAGCAGCTGCACCCCTTGCTGACTCCGCGGCCTTGGACAAGTGGATTCGCTTTATAGGCCTCGTTTCATCCAAGGTAAAACGGGAATCACAGTGGCACCCACTTCATAAGGGGCCATGCAAACAAAGTGACCGTGCCCGCCAGGTGTGCAGAGTTCATTCCGTCCCTGGAGCGAGGCTCTGGAAACAGGGCCTGTGGTTCAGGCCCCGCCCGGCACCTGGACTGGTAGCTGCGGGGCTACTGGCACACGGGCACGCCCATCCGTCCACAACCTGTCCCCGTCTGCTTTCATGCCACAGGGCAGAGCCGAGTAAACGCAGCAGTGACCGTCTGTGCCCCAGAGCCTAGAACAGTGCCCACCTGCCCCTTTGCAGAGAAGATCCGCTCGCCCCGAGGTAGAGAACTAATTCCTGGGAGAGTCCGTTACTGCGCGGTCCCTCTGCAGGCAGAGGTGTGAGAACAGCGCCTGGAGCATCACCAGCAGGCGGTGAAAAGGGGCTCATCTCATCGTTCCATGTACAGGGCCCCGTTCAACCCAAACGGAGCTCGTGAATGAGGCGTTTCTGTCCCCTCTTCAAGACACGCAGTGGCCCAGCCCAGGTCACACTAACGAGGCGGCAGGGACGGAACTCACACTGAGACCTCCTGCCACCAAACCCACGTCCCTGCTTCACCCCACAGCTCCTGGGCAGTGCCCGCAGCCGCCTCGAACATCCGCCCCCTGGGACCGCTAGTTGCAGGAGCAACCCGTCTCCTAGTACACGGACAAGTGCGTAGCACGTGGCGATACACGTGGAACGCCTCCCCTCCGAATGCGGCTCTGAGAAGCCAACAAAAACATTCTGGTTTTAAACGGAACAGAAAACGCACCCCGAGAAAGGACTAACACTGCGAATTCACCGTGGGAAGCTTCCTGCCTGGGGGCATCGGCAGGGAGCCCTCGGCGACCTCGGAGGAGGGGGTAAGACTCCCGTGGCTGGTCGGATGCAAAAGTATACATGCCCTCCACAGGCCCACGGGGGAAAGTGTACACGGTGAACAGGTGCAGAAGCTATGCAAGTAATTGACCAAGATTTCCCCTCCCCGTGGTGGCGGGGACAGCGCTTTGAACTGCAATTCCATCCGGAAAAGAAAAACGTCCACGCGAGAGGAGACCTTACACCCTGCTGACGAGATGAGCAGGAAGCGGTGGCTCACGAGAGGAAGTGCCCAGCGGCCGTTCAGCTTGGCGGTGGGATCCCCGCAGGCCCAGGGCGTGGAGCTGACAGAGGAGGATCCGGTGCCCGAACCTCCCGCTCGCAGTCCACGTGCCCTGTGCGGCCTGCCTGTCGCCGGCCCAGGCCGCTCAGAGTGAGGTCAGGGTGTGAAACGAGAGCGGGGACTCACCCAGTGCAGGCTTGAGGCGCGTGGTCTCCGCCCCTGTGGGAACGAGAGAGCATGTCAGAAAAGGGCCGGCGTCCTCCCGGATCCCATTCCAAACCAATTCGAAACGAAAGCGTGTGACCCCAGACAGGAGAGTGTGGGCGCTCCTGCCTGAGATCGGATGGCTGCTGACCCCACCCACACAGATGCTTGCAGGTCAGCACGAGCCGGGCTGGCTGTCCACCCGCAGACCCGGCAGGCGTCCGACCAGGAGGCCGGCTCCTCGCGCACAGACAGGCGGGACCTACGCCTGTGCAGACCGTCTGCTCTGACCCACACCCAACGGAACAGCCAAGTGGAAGGGAAAGAGAAACAAAAAATAAATGTAAACAGACACCCCCCCCACACACACACAACACACACATACCTTTTCTTTTTTAAAAAAAATTTTAGTATGTTTTTATTGATATTTTTAGAGAGAGGAAGGGGGAGAGAGAGAGAGAAACATCTGTTAGATAGAAACACTGATCGGCTGCCTCCTGCACGCCCCCTACTGGGGATCCAGCCCACAACCTGGGCACGTGCCCTGACCGGGAGTCGAACCAGGACCCCTCAGTCCATAGGACGATGCTCCAGCCACTGAGCCACACTGGCTGGGACACACACCTTGTCTTCATCGCCTCTTCCTAAGCTCTTCCTGGGCCTTCCTTTTGACCAGACAGGTGTTTGTACGGGTCCACCCAGCTGTTGCCAGCCAGTATATTTTATTCCGCAGCTTAGCTAGGCACAGTTAATCTGGAAGCATGTCCTTTAATTAAGCTCGAATTGACACATAAATTCAACCATGCCTTTTAGTTTTAATTTGATGTTTTTCGTACCTCCTGAGCTGGTCTTTTTACATAAATTTTCCCTCTGTTTTTATGACAGATTTTTCCTTTGGGAGGTTATTTCAGGAGCGTTAGCTCGTTCATTTGCCGTGCTGGGGCCTGGCTCGTGAAGGAGGCGTTGGGGAGGACGAGGTGTCAGCTTGCTGCTCACAGACATGGCGGTGCTTTCTGTCCCGTCCCCGGTGCTCCCTGCTCGGGGCACACGAGGAAGCCCCAGGCGGCACGGGTGGCGGGCCCTGCTCTCCCGCCCCACCTGCTTCTTTTAGCCGCTAGGACGCGGCCCCGTGCCCAGTGGGCCGAGCAGCCGGCACACGGGCCCACGACGCTGCTGGGCTGAGATTTGCAGGAGTCCACTTCAACCTACGTGTCCCCAGGGAAGACCTGCTGCGCCTTGTCACTGGGAGGGGTCCTGGGGACAGAGACATGCAGAGCCCGGGAGGATCACTGTTGTCAACTGCCAGGTCGAACCCAGGATGCAGTCGAGGGGCCAGACGTGTGGCAAGGTCTCTGTGGGGACGGGGACTTCAGGAGACCCCTTGTGCCCCTGCGTGGCTGTCACGAGTCTGAGCACTTTTCCTATCTCAGGTGCCTTCATGTAACTGAAATCAACTCCACGGTCTCGCTGCCCCGGGACAGATTAGACGTCGAGGCACAGAGAAGCCGAGGGCCTTTCCCAGACCCCACAGCTGACCAGAGGCAGTGCTGGGGGGGCGTCCAGCATCCGGACGTTTAGTCCACAACGTGTCCAGCCTGTCACGGTCCTAGACACTCTGCTTCTCTTCACTTCTTTCCCCCGCACCCCCATGTCCCACCCCAGCCAGGTCACCGAGCACCTTCCAAGTGTCAAGGACTAATCTGGCTGTTGGTGGCCATCACTGGACAAAGCGGAGAAAGACCCCTGTCCTTGTGGCCCTCACGTGTCCTGGAGGGGAGCAGTCAATGAACAAAACGAAAACAGCCGGTAAGGCAGTGACACGGTCTTTTAAGAGTGCTGAGTGCTAAGACCACCAGACGTGGCGGCAAGGCCTGGGGTGCTCGAAGCGTGGTCAGTGTTGGCCTCATGGACCAAACTTCGAAGTAGGGGAAGGAACTAGCCCTGCTGATCCCTGGGGAATTCCTGGTGTGGACAGGGAGGAGAGGGTGGGCGAGACAAGTCGGTCCTGAGTGTGGGCGTGTGTGTGTGCGTGTGCGTGCACGTGTGTGCGCATGTGCGCGTGCGTGTGTGCGCATGTGTGTGTGTGCGTGCGTGCGCGTGCGCGTGCGTGTGCGTGTGTGTGTGCGTGTGCGCGTGCGTGTGCCCAGGGACGGAAGCCCAGGCTGAGTGCCCCGGGTGGGGTCTGTGGGCGGGAGGGAAGGACAGGGTTTGTGGCCAGGGTCCAACCTGGAG